AACATCCTACGCAAAGGTGTCGGTAACTTTTGTCAAGTTATTTCGTGTAGTACTTTGTTTGAATGCTCTTTCAGTGCAGGTCAAAACTCTTAGCCTTACCGTTTTTTTTCTTCAAGTTTTCAAATGCGTTTTAAACAGTAAAAAAATTTTCATATAACTTGAACGTGTTCCATCCACTTACCTGGTTTTGTAGCTTGTTTACCAGCTTAACGATACTGCAGAAAAAACTATATAGATACAGAAACCTGTATTGCTTTCTAATATACAATAGTAATTGCCTTAGAACTCAGTGGAATTCTATCGTTTTCCAGGTTGCCTGCAAATACATAGAGAATCCAGTTCTGTTTCATCGTGAAGATGTAGGTCAAGTGAAGTTTGACGTTCGCTATCTGGTGCTCATCTCCTCAGCGAAGCCACTTGTACTACATGCAGATAAAGTGTTCTGGTTAAGATTTGCAAACCAGTGAGTAGTGGATGCAGTCAATCCCAAGTTTAAAATGTGATAAGTTCTCCCTATTGATTATCATACATTTCTTTGAGTGTCAGGCCCTGTCCATACTACGCTGATGGAATTTGAAAACGGAAGTTTCACCCTGAAAACGCATCAAATGTTTTCCGTACACACCATGTCGGAGAAATCAAAAAAACGCAACAATCACCGGTCAGTTTAGATTTGTGTTTGAGGAAAACTCAGTCAGGGAAATCACATGATTATCGTGACGCCATCGCTTTCGAAAAGCTCCGTTTTCAAAATGTTTTCCTTCTACACGAAAACGAGAAGCCGGCGTTTTCAAATTCGTCCGGTCCGAAGAGCGTTTTCGAAAAGCTCCGTTTTCGTGACAGAGCAGTGTGGACGGTGGGCCTAACCGTGGAAATAAAGCTGCGTTTTCAAATTTCTCCGGCGCAGTGTGGACGCTGTCTTCGGTTTGAGAATTTGGTTTTTAATATTCAAACACGAGGACAGTGTTGAAACTCAAGTAGGAAATTTAATGGAAAAACAAGATCGTCAAAATCCTTGCTCTCTAAGAACACATTTCTAAATACCGTCTTGTTTACAATTTCTTCTTGTTTTAATTCTCGAATGATGAGTTAGGGATGTATTATACAAAATTTCGATGATAAGCTCTTATCACCAAAACCTAGGAGTGTGTACCTCAATAGCGCAGTTCCTTCAACAGTGGCTCCGTTTTGTAAATAATCTGCCTCAAAACCAAACAGTATAACTCAAATAATATGGTGAGGGACTTTAAGAAGACCGCGACGGCAACGGCAACGGGAACGTCGCTAAACAAAAGATTTAATGAGTAGATCAGTGGCTGTTGCACGTGCGTTATAATTCTTGATACATTTCTTTGCCGTCCTCTTCAAAACAACGTGAAATGACTAAATTCTGCGTTGTCCAGAGAACGTGAACCACGACGGCTATTTTTTTTTTTTTATTTCAAATATTTCGCCCTGTCCCAGATTCAATTTCGTGATAGTTTTGACACGAAGAAACAAAGGAAAATGACTTTAGAGTATCTCGAGATTCGCAGATAAAATATAAAATCATTTTTTAATGGACGTTGTGCTCGGCGTAGTGTCCTGGTTTCTTAAACTCCCTATTAATATGTTGATGACGTCCTCCCGGTGAGTCCTACGCAGAGAGAAACATTGGACTGTTAGTTTACCAGTATGTAATATATCAAACACGAAAGACAGTGTTTGACCACATTTCCATACACCGAGAAGAGAGTTGAAAATACGACGCGTAGTGAAGTATTTTTGACGAACGTCGAGGTCGAACACTGTCCTTTCGGTTTGATATATCTTCTCAATCGAAACTAAAACTTAGGAGAAAACGGAGAATTAAAATCGTAAAAGTCTATGCTAATTAAGATCAGATATCCAAACACCGTCACGGTCATGATTTCCTTTGTTTAAACTTGATGAATTATTAATGAGTTTGAGAAGTGTAGTTGGTTACGCGACTTGGGGAATCCCCAAGCTGTTTAAAGAGCCATTGCTGAGTAAATCGATGACGGCTGCCTAATATTCCTTTCTGATATTTTATTCGCTCTTTTTTAGGCCTTTTTCATTGGATTCCTTTGATGTTTACGCGAAACATTTCACAGTCATGAATTACAAGGATAGTGAAAATTTAAAACAGGTAAGAAAACAGCCACAAAATTGGTGGTAACATTTCTTGTCTTTATTGATAGATTTGCCTTCCTTATTAATATTTTTCGCTAAAATTACAGTTTTCGCTCTTTTATGATGGTAGACATGTTGCTGCTAGAGTTGTGCACGTCAAAAAAATGTTAAGTCTTGACTAATTTTAACACGTCTCGTCTCACTTAGATCGGAATTGTCTCGTGAGGTAGTTTCAGACATGCTTGTAAAATAGACATGTTTCGATCATAATCGCACGCTGAACCGCTCTTTGTGAATCCTGTTTGTTACGAAACTTTGACGTGTTTCATTCGTAATTAGACTAAGCATGCTTTAGGTCAGTGTGAATGTGGTACATGTGGGTTATTGACCAAGCGTGAGGTCAAGATGGCTGGATATCGGCCAAGTTCTTTTTTTGCGTGTTTATGGACCGAGACGGAGTTAAGGTTGACTTCATAAACTTGCAAAAAAACGACGCCAATATCCAGCCATCTTGACCGAACAAACTTGGTCAATAAAGGATTTATCATGCTCTTGGGGAAATTTTTCTTGCGGAACAAAGCGGGTAGTCCTGAGCGGGCGAGATAGCGAAATATAGCCCGCTCGGGTAGCCAATCACAGCACAGGATTTGGTTCATCCGGCCCGCACACGGAGCTAGCCAAAAAATAAAAGTGCATACCGGTTTGTTTAGGAAGGCAGCCAAGCTACAATAAGATTGGGATAAAGTGTGTTGTCAGGCGCCATCTCGAATATGTAACCGCTTCTCCGGCTATAAAGTGTGTGTTAATTAATGGCCGGGGTTTCTTTGCTTCTTACAGGTGCATCACCATGAGTTTATACCTATGTTTGAAAAACAATATCCTTCTCACAAATGGGCAGATATCGAGGTAGATATCTATACATACTTTGTTAGATAGGTTATAATGATCGAATTAAACAAGTTGTTTTCATTTTTTTGTCTCGGATTTTCCTAAAAGAAATAGAAAACATGTTTTCCGCTTGTGGAAGTTTCGGAGACCCTGTCACCTCGTGTTCCCACAGCATTTCTCGTTGTCCCAAACTTCCACTCGAGTCGTGTTTTTATATCACGATAGAAACAACGTACATGTTTTCTTTTCCTAAATAAAGCTGATATTGATTTAATTCTATTTTTATTTAAGGAGTTGTAGCAAGAGCGACGTATTCCTGTCTTTAGTTATATGGTGATAAATAAGATTGTCGTTAAATGGACATGAACTTTCTTACACTAGTTAACTTGGATTTACTGACTTTTCAACTCTTTTTACATTTAATTTGCCTATGCAGAGCAAGATTTTCAAAATGTTCCGAGGGATGTTCGAAGCGGCGATCTCCGATTCGCCGCCAAAGACCTTGTTACACTGCGCACAGGTTTGTAGTTGAGCATTGGGTTTTATAATATGTACTTGAGGAGGCAGCGTGGCCGAGGGACGACGGACTTGAAATCCGGAGTTCGCGGGTTCAAGTCCCGCTCTGACTACTAAGCTGGAGTCGTTTCCAGGTAGACCCTCGTTCAACTCGTCGATCAAGCTTGTAAATAGCCAACTGGTCTGCCTCTCGCCAGTTGGGACTTTTAAGCCTATTATGTTTAGTTGATATATTTGTTTCTTTCAGTTTATGTGGCATGCCTCTGAACTAGCTAGGTGTAGCTAAGAGCATTGACAGCTATAAACAACAACATTTGAACATTTTCTTGACGACTGAACTTCCAGTTGCTGAATTTTCAAGTGCCATTTTTTATTATAGTCTTTCTGCTGGTTTCCCAAGCTTTTCAGCCAATCGGAGAACCAAGGTCTGCACGTTCAGTTGATTGGCATGCGGCTACTCTGTATTCCCCGCCTCCTATACCTGCTAGACTAATGCCTGGGTTTTGATTAGTCACTAATTTGGCAAAACCAGACTAGACATAGAGATATAAAAACGACGTCAAATCAATCATTTGTTGGCAGAGTTACGTATGGTCCCTCGGTTGTTCTCACGCGCACGACCTGTTACAGAACCTAACAGTTTGTACGGTTTTTACCTTAGGCCCAGTTCATACGTCGCATTTCTGCTGTGTCGAATTCAATTCAATTAAGTGCGACAGAAATGCGACAGTGGATTCATACGTCGCACTTGTGTCGCACTTTATTCGGAATTTATAGTGTTGGTCATGTCGGACAGTGGAAAATGCTTTAAACGTAGAGTATTCAATATGGCGGATGAAGACACTGAGCGACGAAGGACTAATTTTGCGAAAAATTGTTCGCCAGTGAAACGAGAAGGAGATTAGGCTGACAACGGAGCAGTATGTGTTGCAATTTGTTCAGGTTGCATTGGGTCGTGAATGGCCAAGTTTCTTCTTTTCTTTGGCGGGAAAACATTTATGCATGCTCAATACATTAACATAATGTATGCATTAGATTCGACACGGCAGAATTTGACGTCTGAATCAGTGTCGCATTTCTGTCGGATAATGCGACAAGACCAGTCGAACGTGCGGCAGAAATGCGGCAGCCGATTTAGACGTCAAATTTCTGTCGAATTTAATTCGTTGAATTGAATTCGACACAGCAGAAATGCGACGTATGAACCGGGCCTTAGTAGATTAGGCATCTTCGAGTCTGTGTAAATTATTTGTACTTTCTCAGGAAAAGTGTTTTAGTATACTAATTGTTGTTTATTTTTCAGTCTCGTGCATTTTATGCCGTGGATCTGATGCTCAAATGGGCGGACGATGGTAATTTTGTTGTGATACTTATTTTTAGTAAACTAATCGTATCTATAACAAAATTTTTGGCTCCGTTTGGTTCTTCGCGCAACTGTTTGTTACGTAATTGGCGCGCGATCATGTGGATATCCAATGAGGTATCCATGTACCACGTTTTGGAATTCAATACCTGTAATTTGACACCTGTGCCCTCTGCACGTCAATTTTTTTGCATCAACGATCGCATCTGGTACCCAATTAATTTGCCAGAATGTCAGTCGGTCATTTTGGCGTTAACGGCTTCTGCAAGATGTTATGTGCCTCATAGCCTGCGAAGCTGGCGGTATTGTAGGCGCGCGGAATAAAGTTTTGTGGCGGTATTGTAGGGGCGCGGAGAAAAGTTTTGGCGGCGGAGCCGCTAAAAGCGAGCGAGGAGGAGAATGGGGAGGAGGACCTTGTATTTTTCGCGGCCTCGCCGCACGCGATTACGCCGCCAAAACTTTATTCCGCGCGCCTGCCGTGCAATACCGCCAGCTACGCAGGCTATGTGCGTCATATCAGGCCCTTTTGCCTGCAACCTGGCTCCAAAATTACTTAAACGCCGTCCAGATAACAAATACAGTCGAAAACAGAAATATCATACGCTATAATCTAAGAATATTCACAAGAATATTTTCAGCGTAAAATCGGCAAAAAAATAAGAATATTCAGCCTCGGCCGGAAAAACAATATTCTTATAAAAAAAAAGAGTGTATTACACACATACATGCATATACTTTATTTAACCTCGAATTGTTTCCCTACTGTTTATAAAATCGGAAAAAATGTATAAACCGTTTAAAACCGCTTAAGAAAGTCTACAGATAGTGTCTATTCGGATGGTTTGTTATGTCTGAACTTGTATTTATAGATGCTTTCCTTTCCCCTGTAGGTTCAAACGATATAATTCCTCAAGTTCTAGAAGTGAATTACGGCCCCGATTGTGAACGAGCTTGCCGTTATCATCCAAACTTCTTTAACTATATTTTTAGTTTGCTATTCCTTGGAGATTCGGATGGATGGCCCGTGGAAAAAATAGCCTGAAACATCTCTTGCATCGCTAGAATTGTTCTTTAATGTAATGTCCTCGATGGTCGTGGTACAATCTCAAATTTCGTTGCAAGCTATCAGTGTTCCGTTGCCCATCTCTAGAAGCCACAATCAGTTCCTAAGAATCTCCAACTTATAGCTTAGTGGTCGTCATCGACCTCTGTTGGGAGAGCGCAGCAAATTGTTTCTTGCGTAGCCTGGGAACAGGCTCCCGGTGAGGACCGAAAAAATTCGGCGAGCAAAACGAGCCGACGAGCGCGAAACTGAAGAATTTGTAGAGGGAAGCGATCTAGGCGAATTCTTGTTTTCGCGCTTGCTGGGAGCCTGTTCGCAGGCTATGTCTTGCGTTGATGACTGAATCTCTTCCATGTTACACCAGTCTTAATTTATAACATTTTTTCCACAATTGTTCTCGAGGAATGCGAACAAAACAATCCTTCCAAGCCCGTCAAATAAGGTCAAGTTTATTTGCAATTTCTGTCTAATCACTATTACAGCAACCAAAAACAAATGATGCTGCATTTCTTATCACGTAAGACTCTATTTATTACATGTAAATAACAGTAAATTCAATAAAAAGACTGTCCCACTACACTGATCTGGGTAGCTGTCTGTCCACCTTTGTATAATGTTTCAGTATTGTGTTCAGTGTTGTAGTTTATTCCAGTGCCTTGGTTTATGTAACTTGGCTTATACAGCTGAAATATGTCAGAGAAACAAATTAACAAGAGGATAGTCACAAATATTTAATATAGAAGTAATAATATGGGCCGGTTTGCCCGATTAAGTTAACCCAGGATTAGCGAAAATTTTGATCCCACTTTTATAACTTTTAGGTGAGGTTTTTTGTTTATATAGTTTGCCCTTCAGTTTTGAATTTCAGTCATCTTAGACTACACAAAACATTAGCAGTGAAAAATAAGAAAACAAGAAAAAGTAATACTTTGGATAACTTTTAATCGTGGGTTAGCGTTAACCGGCTTTCAAACAAACTCCGGCCTTGGTGTGTTAAGAGTGGCGCTGTTACCGTTCTTAAGTTTGCCAGGTTTGGAAAGTTCAAAAAGTTTCGATTACATGACAGCCAGCCACACAACATGGATTTCTCTCAATCAATAAAAAACACTTGCCCTGAACTGTGTGTTAATCAGTGTGTTTCTATGATTTTTGTATTTGAAGAAATAGTCAACTGCGACAAGAGAAAACTGTGGGTTACCTTGTTGTTTTGGTGGCATGATGTTGTCAATGTAGTCGTCAACAGTGACTCGGATGCCAGCTGGTTCATATATCGCTACCACTACAGTGCGAACATCCTCTCCTTTTTCTTTTATGGCAAATCCACATCCCAATGTCTGATGGGAATTCCACAGGACCTAGACACAATTCGCTCCAAAGATTCATCCATTTAAGTTCGAACTTACACTAGTACTAGATCAGGCTCAGGTTGTTCGAAGGCTGGATAACACTGTCCACCGGATAAATCGCTATCCAGTGGATAAGTCAGTGTTAGCAAAACAAAGCACGTTATTCACTGACCGGTGGTTTGTGTTATCCACCTTTCGAACAACCGGGGCCAGATGTTCTGGGTTACTCCATGTAATTTAAGTTGGGACTTCCCACTGTATGGGATTACAACTACAGTTTAACGCCTATTAAACGGCCACCGTCGGGGAAGGGCCGCCTGATAGGGGTGGTCGTTTAATAGGAGGCCGCTTAATAGGGGTTCGACTATATATCCAGTTCTCTGTGCGGACACTTCTGTAATGCGCGTAGTTCTCTACAACTGACACTTGCAGTTGATCCTTGCTGTTTTTCAGTCAAACGGACAAAAGACACTCATTGATAGTAGTCAACAGACACTTAAGAGGCTGCCTCGTCCTCGGCGCCTTTGAATTGCTTCAGCGAAAAGTGCTAAAAGGAGAGCGCAGTGTTTGATTGTTAAGCGGCGTTACCTTCCGCGAGTGCAACAGGCCCACAACACCACGGGCACCACTCTCCAACTAAGGAGGGACGACTGGGGACGAGGCGGCCCCAGAAGTGTATTTTTTTTTCGATGAAAAAGAATGTCGATCAGAAGTTTATTGGTTTACTACCTTCAGTTACGCCCTTTAGTTTGTTTTATTGTACAGCTGGAGTCATAACAGATAATAGATAATAGATAATAATAATAATAATAATAATAATAAATGATGGCTCCTGTGTAAAGTTAACAAATTCCCATTTCATCAGTCTTTAATAAACTCCCGCAGTTGTTGTGCATTTACTGTATGGATAGACACCTTCTGTTATACAATGTAATTACAAGTGCACTGCTACTCTACTCTCTGTTAGGCGAACATTTCTCCTTGAGAGAGGAGCTGACGATGTTCAAACTCGTACCTCAAAGCTCACATTAGATGATGTTAAAAGATACATTTCGCAAATTCTCACCTCTATGAAGCGGTCGCTGCTTGTGGTGACTTCTGGTTTCTTGTAATTGTAGGAATTGCCTTCGTTGTACCTGGAACAACGGGCACGTTTTCAGTGTTACAAACTAACTAGAGGTAGAGCGTAACAGTGAACAGGTAAAATGAAGAGGTAAACGTGTGTTGGCTTAAGATTTACCTAATACTATGTAACCGTCTCGTCAAACATTATGGGGACTGAATGCTCATACAGTCTTAAAATTTAACAATATCAAAGATCGCATGGCTCGCTATACTGATTGAGTCGTTACCAGTTTTCCACTGCGTCACTGATTGTCCTTGGACTGGGCCATTCGGCAATGAAGTAATTGGCGTCGTACATGTCGTGAGAAGCTGCTATGTCTGTTTGTGAGGCCAAAGCATCTGCAACTTTTTGAGCCTCATCTGCAAGAGTTGTGCTGTACTTTAAAGCTGGGGTTCTATGTTTGTCTCTGTAGAAGTTGTGCTTGTCGAGGCAATCTGTCTGGATGCTTGCAAACACTGGGTATTTGATAAAACTGAATGATGTCAGAGTGTCTTCAACATATTTGTCGCGGTCTTAGATCCAGACGCGTGCTTCTATTTCACATTTCTACGTTCATACTGGCTTTGCGAGTTGCGACTTCCGTACCGTTTATGCATGGCGAGGAGAATGCCCGCGTGAGTGGCGCCCTTCTTGAAACACTTACCCCTTATCAGGTCAAAATAAATGATGTTCCCTACTCAATGCAAACCAGAGCCTACCGAGGGACTGCCTCGGTTTGCCTAACCTTGTGAAAAGAACTTTGTTTTTTCGAAGAATCCTGACCATGAACAATACTAAACAGAGTGCAAAAAACGTACGTACCCTATCTCAGACCAAAATAGTAAAAATTCATACCTTTTTTTCATATACCAAAATGGGTCAAAAAGTAATTCCTTATGGCCCCGCAAAGAGCTATATAGCTTTTTAAAGAGAGTTACCCCCTATTTAGAAGAGTCCATGTTACACCTACCAGTTTGAATGAAAACGCAACCAACGAGGGAAGAAAACAGGATAATCCTGTTTGCTCGCGGCATGGCATATGTAGGTGAATCCATGTCTGATGAGAAGTCAATAAATATATAAGTAACAAATGCAATGAAAACCAAATTTTTCTTTAAAAACGAGGTGATGTACAAATAAAGTACCAGTACAAATTATACCCACAGAGATTTCACCCTCTTCTCTTTAATTGCGCAGAAAAAGAGGCACAAAAAAATCTTTTGTAAAACGCTATGCTGAAAACCTACTTTAAAAAGGCTAGCTTGTTTATGGATCGTAAAGTCTTTTTCGTTCTTGCAGGCTTTCATTCATATGATGTGCACGCGCAACTTTATCGGAAAACATTGCGAATGTTTTTTCTTTAATTCTTATAATCGAAACATGTAAAAGGGGAGGAGAGGCAGGGGTCAACTAGAAAACTTCTAGCACTCGACGATCATTTTTATTTGGATATGTCGCTATATATTAGTGTTCTCACTCGAAGTCCCTCGATTTACTTGCGCTTTCTTTTTGAAATCTGGTTTGAGAGAATTGCTGAACGTAGAACATACTCGAATGTAAGATTCTTTCAGCAGTGCTACCCCACTGAGAAAGTAGTCAGAATGTAGAATCTAGCTGGTTCTATTAAAAAGAGACGTAAACTGGAATTTCTATTCGGTTTGTAGAAACTCCCTCCCCCCAAAAATCGCTTTCGTTCTGCAGTAAATGCTCTTTTGGGCAATGCACTCAACTGAATGTGAAATGTTAGTCTAAAATAATAATGAAAAAGTAGACAGAAAATCATGTCCACACGATACGAACGTCGGCTTACCTTAAAGAAGCAGTAAGTTTTAAAGAATCTTTCGTCCCTCAGTGATGTATCAACCTTTCTTTGCACCGGACGGAATTCCATTAAAACGCCATTCGTTGCTAATGACCTGGAAACAATAGGTACATATTTTTTTAAAAGAAGAACAGTATAATTATTCGGTGTTATGACTCGTTTTAATCAATTTGGGGGCAATTTTGTTTCCGAGACCAGCATTTTCTGAACTGAGCGCAAAACTTACCACGATACCAAAACAACCATATTATATCGTGTTAATGACCACGTTCTATCTGAGAAAATATACTGTAATGGTTGCACGGGTGCGTGCACACGATTCGTTTGCATATAAATTACCTTTCTAAGGCCTTGATTAGAAATCAGTTTAAATAAGTAAGTGGTTCTCCTATTGTAGTTTTGAAAAAGTAACAATTTAGTACCTTACTTAACCACAGATGATAAAAGGATTAATATCGGGAGATAAATTGCTTGGTTTCGGAGAAACTAAAAAAACACTAGATCGGTATTTTAATTATACCAACATATTTTGGTGATTATTTGATTGAATTTTTTTATAATTACTTCTAAAAATGGAAGACAGTTTATATAAAAATAATGACATTTTTCAGCGTCAACACAAAGAAATTTTCTTAATGTGCCCGTTGCTCATACAAGCACTGTTAAAATGAACACGGCTCAAAATAACATCATTTAATGTGGTCTAAATGACCGTTTTAAAACGGTCGTTAACTAGTTAAGGTCAGAGATGAGTTTAGTGTTATTAATACAAGCATGAAAAATTGCCCTAAGCCCCAGGGCTCTAAACTTTTTGACTTCGGCCTGTTTAAGTTAAGTTGAACTCTTTTTCAAGCACCACTAGTCTTGTATGAATTCCGAATTCCACCTCTTTAGGTAAGAGAAAGTTTACATTTTTCTTTCAAAGAGAGAATAAGTTGAGTGTGTTTTAAGAGCTTAAAGCCTCAAAGGTGTTATGACAATTTGTTTCTTTGTTTTCTGCACTGAAAGCCTGAACAATACTAAAAACTCTCTATTCAATTTTTTTTGGCACTGCGTTAAAGTACCTGGAGGACAAGCTAAGAGACCTTCACAGTTTCCGTTTGTAAATCTCTGACAATCCAGGCCTCGGTAACCTTGCGGCAACATGGATTTCATGAAATATTTCTGGATTTTAATCGTTTGTTCTCACATCGCTTCTCAAAGAGGTAAGATAATGTCTAGTTTTCATTTTCATGTTTCATGTTTTCTGAACTGCATGCCTTTTTCACTACTCAGTACTTTATCTGTCTGATGCAGTAGAACCCCGCCTTACGGCCACCCCGTAAGTACGGTCACCTCGTTTTTACGGCCACTTTATTCTGGCCCTAACAAAGGCTCAGTCAGTCATTTTCTTATTTAAAGAACCCGTTTAGCTGATACTGCCATCCCGTTAATACGACCAGATTTTTGTGGCCCGTTGGTGACCTGATTAACGGGATTCCACTGTACCTGCAATTTACCGTTTCATAAAAGAATAATTTAACAAAGAAAACATTGTGAATCTCTACAGGTTCTACATCGAACACTGCGAAATATTTCAGATAAAAAAGTCAAGTTCAAAATCTATATTGCTTCTGACGTCTGCGTTCAAGTGAATCCTCTTGGAAAATGATAATTTTGGTGTTATGCAACCTGCAAATTGCCTGGAAAGGGCATCAATATGTATATTTTCAAAGGATCCCAAACTTGCTGAACTAGCTTCCTGTTTTAACTTTGAAATAGGAGGACTGTTATAAAAAGTTATTAATAACTATCCTTAGCCAGCAGCAAACTATGGCTTCGGTCACTTCGAAAACAACATACCCTAAAACCGACTACAAAAGCACCTTCATTAAATATCTAATTAACTTCGCTCTTCAGTAGAGATAGCGTCAGAATTTTTTTCTGAGTTTCTTTGTCGTGGTCTGGACTAACTAAAACCCTGACAAAAAGGTTTAGGCTTTTCTTTGTGCAGATTGAAAATACCCACAGTTAACGTTCATCTTATAAAGGTCTTATCCCAATATCCTCTAAGCACTGTCGAAATCCATAGTGTACAATATTTACGAGTCATCGTTGACTCCTAACAATCAGTATTATTCAGGTGGTGGGTGGGAGGAAGCGGAGAAGAAGGGGGCAACACAATATTTATGTTCTCATGTATACAAAAAAATGAACGATTACTTCCATTCGCCGAGTTTACACAACCATTGCTAGCCAATATGGATGACTTGTGTATATATTGGTCAGCAGTGTTGGCCAGCATCCAATCGGATTGCTTGAAACAGCACAACTTGCACCGAAGACAGCATCAAGCCCCGGATGTGACATATAGCAGTGAGCTCAAGGAGAAAGCGCAAAGCTTGGCGGAATTTATGGCGGTGTCTGACACGCAATTGGAGTTTTTTCAAGGGAGTGTGGACGAAAACTTGTTTCATGGCGTGTCCAGCCATCCGCTGACCATAAGTGACGCCATACAGCATTGGTAAGTAATGTAAGATGAACATAAAGAACTATGCCGCAATCTAGATATGGAGCCACTCCTTTGTCATATCTAAGAGCAGGGCTCGAAAAAAGTGCCTTCCGGTCGTGCGGGACAAGTAGATTCTCCTTCTGGGCATATAGCTTTTCACTCTCATAAGCCTGATGGGCAAGGGACCAGGCAAGTCGTCTGCCAACTAAATCATTAAAAGAGCAACCTAACACTCGCCCAAAATTTGAGAGCTACTTGTCCCAAGGGCAAGCTGGAATTCAAGTTGTTTTTTAGTCCTGTAAGAGGGGCAGTAATGGCATTACAAGTACCATGATTAAGAGTTTTTAAGAACGTACGAATGTCAATAATGTAGCCAAGTAAAAACTGAGGTTTTAATTAAATGTTCAACCCTGCTTAATTGAAAATGTTTTTTCACATGCCTGATATTTTCAGCTCGATCCGTCAATTTCTAAGGATTATCGTCCATAGCATTTTAATAGAACTATTTCACCAGTTTAAAGCGGTATAACTGTATCTAATTTGACCTTTTGATAATTTCCACTGCAGGTATAATCGTGGTCGATTTTACTACTACACGCGTCCAAACCTCAGCTTTGAAAACACGAATTTTATTCAGGTAACGTTTTCTGGAGAGGACGATCCATTTACGCTACATATTTCACTGGCACAGCATTTTGGAATTGGAAACCCAGTCTTCAATCCAGTTGTTTTCCTCTTAAAAGACCGTTATAGAAGGCAGGTGCTGGAGTTACACACCAATTATCATGACGCGGAAAATATGGGCTTGGAAGCTTTATATGTACAAATCTTTAAATACAATCTGCAGACTATAGAGAGACTTGAAAAATTAAGCCTCTTCACTTTACAACAGAAATGATAGTGGGAGAAAAGAGGTTGGGAGTAATGGAGGCTAGCACAAACAAGATTACGTATTTGTTTACTCATTCTTTAAGAATTGGACTTGCCTTTTTCTTGCTTTAGCTCGTGTGGAAGTCATACACGAAGATTGGGTGTGGTCAGGCTGTAGCGAACAAGGAAGATGGCACCGTCAGTACATATATAGTGGCTTTATATGAGCCGCCAGCTGACCGGTCAACTAGAAAGGATCTTTTGTCAAACGTCTTCGCTCCAAAGCCGAAACAATAAGGTATTATAAAAACCTCTTGTCTTGATTAGACACATCGCCACTGCGAAATTTTTACAATTTATCAAATCCCAATCGTAGATAGAGCGGTTTTCAATTGAGTGTGTTTAAAGAGAAACTCAAGTAATCACTCTGGCCAATCACAAAGGACAAAGACGATCCAATGAACCAATCGAAACTGAGTTATAGCAAATCTACATGTTGTCGACGAGAAGTGCAGGAAAACGTGTACCATCGAGTTGGAACACAGGTAGCCCAAGCTCCTTTTGGAACCGTCAACACGACATTGCGTAACAGCGTTATTATAAGAGTTCGTATGGGAATATAACTATCGTACAAAATAGTTCAAAATAAGGGAAAAAAGTAATAAAATCGACTTACCTGTCCTGTTTTTTGTATAAATTGTGTTTTTATGGCGTTTGGAGGGGTTTTAGTAGGATTTCAGGGGGTTTTAGCTTCTCTGTATTCCTCTCCCTATATTATCATGTTGACGGTTCCCAAAGCAGCTAAGGCTACCTGTGGTTGGAATTGTTGTTCAGCTAGACTTTCATATTGGATCAAGCCAATCGTGTAGCGTAATAATGCAAGCCAATCACTTTTCGACACTTAAGTGAAAGCTTCTCTAACAACTGACAACCGATACCTGCACACTTTGATCTGGCTCATCTGTGGACTGGTAGATCTGACCGATGCATTGTGTGGCGAAGGCATCCTTTCCAACTAGTTACTGAATTTTTAAAAAGGTGTGCATTATCGCCATGAATCATTCTCTTGAAGACAGGGAAAAGCCAGCAACCTTGGTAACCTAAACCTTCCAAAATGTCAAAAATTGTTAGCCTAATACCGCATACATGAATAAATTTGACGCCGGAACGTTTCACTGTGGCAAGAAGCCTTCACAATGATGTTCCTTATATTTACGCGTATCATGGACAAACTTGTGTTTCATTCTGTATTCCTTCGACAGGTCCATTGTATGATGTGGATGCAAAAGTTTGAGCAACACTCGTGCATTAACAGCGAGTGAAATCTCTTCAATTAAGACCTAGCTTTAGAGATCTTGAATGAAAGGGAATCAAAGAAGCATCATTTTAATAAATATTAGAAGTAGACATTTACTGTCCTTTGTCTATATTATACTTGGATTCATGATCCACGATCACTCGGATTATGTTGTATCATAGGAACCGATTAATCCTTGTCCGGAGAGAATTCATCTGTTCCTTTGATGAGTAGCATGCGAACAGGCTCCAGTGAGCCCGTCTCCCGCCCTGATCGCTTTGCCCTCCGAATTCTTCTGTTTCGCGCTTGCCGAATTTTTTTTCCGTCCTCGCCGGGAGCCTGTTCGCAGGCTATTTGATGAGCCACGTTCCGAGTATTGTTAGAACATTAATTCTAATTTGAATCTTCCCAAAGGAACGCTCCCTTCCGATTAATACTGGTGCATACTGAATCGTAACTATGTATCAGATGATGTTGAGAATAATTATTGGTCGCAGAAGGGATTTTGAACGCTTAATTAATTATTAACTTGAAATCAACCGCCCTAGCGAATTATTTAGAAAAACAGACGTTTCGAGTGTTAGCCTTCTTTAGTTGGAGCAAAATTCCCCATACGCTGTTATTCAGCGATTCATCTGGGCATAAGTCTCGAATTTCATCTCCTGGGTGATTAGACTTCTATTTTTCATGCATTTTACGAGCGTGAGAATTAAAACAGTGTTATCTTGAAATACCACCCCCCCCCCCGCCCTTCCCTGGGTACCAGAGGTTTTTTCTCGCGCGCGGCGGACGGAAATACTTCGCTTTAGAGACATGACCGACGCTGGAAACAGTGGAAGAAAAACTTCTGGCACCCAGGGTCCCCACCACAGGCTCGAAAACTATAAAGCAGGAGCGTACATTTCTTGGCGGAACGCCCAGCTAATTGAATCACTATCTCAACAATCAAGTCCAAACTGTGACGCTCAATGGCTAATATTGTCGTCAAGGGGAAAAATAAACTCTTTATAAGATAAATCCCCAAGCAACAGTAATACAGACCCCGCCCACCCCCCTCCCATGACAGCTCAAAAACCCTCGATTTGATGACTAGATACCAGATCCCTGGGGAGTTCCTACATGTCTGCAGTGCAACGTGCGTCGTATCTAAACAGGCCAGCTAATTGCCAGCTAAACAACAGAAAATGGCCTCAACTCGCACCGAAACTCAAACTTCCACCGCGGGAAAAACCTCTGGTCCTGCAAAACTGAACAAGGATCCCACTATAGCGCAGATTTTTGAGAGTTTAGAGTACGGCCCAGCTCCCGAAGCTGCCAGCGGTGTCAACTCGTGGCTGGACGAGCATGGACGAGACTTCGGACATTTCGTGAACGGAAAATGGGTTAAACCCGAGGGAAGGAAGGTTTACGAGACAAGAAATCCTGCAACAGGTCAGCGATACTTTTTACTTTTAAGTTCACTGTTACCTCATTGGATTTCCCAGTGCCTTGAGCTGGGGGCAGACTCAACTACTGGAGGACAAGGTGGTCATACGTTCATAATGTACAGTATGGGACCCAGTTCTCGGCCACAAAAAACGTAAACTTGTATTTCTTACCTTGGAATAGCCGTAACGACTTAAAATTTCACGCATAACTAGCTTCAGCATTCAGTTAACACATGTAGAGCTATCGACTGCTCAACGCTGTGTTCTCCCGAGTAATAACGAAAATGGACGCTTCGTTCGTGGGCCCAGTTTTCGGCCAGCAGGCCCAGTTCTCGGCCACAATAGAGTGCACGCGATTCCTCAAAATAAACAACGCTTTATTACCATTTTTTGTTGTTAAATCACTTATAAGGCTTGTGTTTTGATATTTCGATCACAAATTATCCTTAAAGAGCTTTGTTTCATGTTAGAAAAGGAAGCTTTTTGCACACCTAGTTTTTCTCTTAAGTGCAGTCAAGCGAGGCTAAAAAAGAGTTGGGTATTTAGTCAGAGCTCATAGTTTTCAGCATGCCACCCCATTACAGCTTTATTTTTACAACTGACTTGACACGAATACTCCACACAAAACTATGAGCGCTTTTAGTGTTGAAGGCGAGCAGGGTGGCCGAGAATAGGCAAATACRCAAAAGTACTAAGGAAATATTGAGGAGTGAATTTAGGTCAAAGAAYTAAACASGCCAGGAAAAGTTTATATTTAACAGATAGCTTTATCACTCTACGTYCTTTATGCCAAGAATTGGCTCATTTGGGCTTTCTAGACGGACAAAATATAAACTTGAATTAAACCATGTAATTCGAGTAGCCGTAAACAAACACGTTTTCGGGGAAACCAAATTCACCTACCTTCGGGTCACCTCGACGTGCTCACAAAAAAAATCGGCAGGACGAAACAAAACTCAGCAGAACGGAAGGCAAGGAATCAAGCTACCTTTGGAAACAATTGCTTTTTATTCAGACTCATTTGTGACGCGAAAAATTAAACGCTGAACAAAAAGTGGCCAAGAACTGGGCCCGGCCGAGAACTGGGCCCCACACTGTACGTTCCACCATTGTGGTGTACAATTGCATTTCCTTTGTCATGCTCGTCTCTTTCTTTGCAAATCGAAACATCAATGAATACCTGGAGAAAATTTCCGTTCTTTATCGGCTTGCTTACACCAGCTCTCTGAAAATAATAACAACTGACCTTAGTTGACGCTCCAAGAACTCAATTTTTATACATCTCCCTTATTATCCTATGTGTGGCCGAGTCATATACTTGTCTGTCGTTTGTGATATAATTGTGCTCTTGTTATAGAGGTTTTCCTATGGAAAGGTTCAAATTGTATGCTGTGTTAAAGGTTTCTGTTGCATGTTGTTTTCCTCACATGGGATGTGTAAGGCCATCATTTATCCCCAGCCCCGCGGGGGTGGGGAGAGAGGGTACTCCCAGGAAAGTTGGGTGGGGGTGTGTGGCCCACTTCCCAACACCCTTACCCTATTTATGACCAAAAGCTGTGATTTTTGCTACCCAATTTATGACCTGACCAAAACTTTGATACCCCATCTATGACCGATATGGCTGACACAGGTGCCCTAAACATAATTTATGAAGGGCTTTTGTTGATGGTCTAATCAACAACGATGAAAAAGTAGCTTCTTCTAAAAAACATATCCAATTCAAGACTAGAGTGCTAAAACCATGCCCTATTTATGACCTAAATGATCAAAATGGCCAAAATCAATACCCTATTTATGACCAAAACGGCTGAAAAACCATACTCTTTGTGGCCGCACACACCTATATAGCTCATGTGAGGGAGTACCCCCTCACACTCCTGAGTCCCCAGCATGTTGTCAGGGTACCCTTATAACTATGGTACATGTGAGAATTATTCTTACCCAAGAACACAATGCAGTGACCCCAGTCACAGCTCAGATGCACATTTTTATTACAGGAGAAAAACTGGCATCTACTATGCAAGGTGAACAAGAGGATATAGACCGAGCTGTTGGAGCGGCAAGAGACGCCTTTAAATCATGGAGTAAACTTCCTGGGCATGTGCGAGCTCGTTATTTATACAGCATAGCTCGTCATGTTCAAAAGCATGCTCGATTGCTGGCTGTGCTTGAAAGTATGGACAATGGTAAGCCAATCAGAGAGACGCGTGATGCTGATGTGCAGATAGTTGCCAGGCACCTTTATCACCATGCTGGCTGGGCTCAGCTCATGGAGACAGAAATGAGAGGTACACCTATTATGATTACTGTTATCGTGATGTTATTCTTAATTAGTATCACCCAACTAGTGGACTAATGCAAATCCTGCATTTTGATTGGCTACGCTACTAGAGGACTATTAGCAATAGTCCTTGAGTAGTGAAATTGGCGCAATCGAGCGTGACGCTTTCTTTTGTTTTATTCCCAAATAAATATTTCTTCAACTTNAAATCATTACTGTAAACAGTTCCATGAATGCTCCTATCTCCGAGACTTATAGTTCACAAAAAAATAACTCTTGCACGCCTTGCGTGCCTATGTTTTTTAGATTGGAAACCCGTAGGTGTTGTTGCTGCAATAGTTCCTTGGAATTTCCCATTAATGTTACTCTGCTGGAAGGTTTGTCCAGCTCTTGCTATGGGTAACACTGTGGTACTCAAACCAGCTACTTATACACGTCTGACAGCACTTCTGTTTGCCGAGATCTGTGCAGAGGCAGGACTTCCACCTGGTGTATTCAATGTAGTGACTGGGAATGGTGCATTTGGAAGTTCGCTTGCTGCACACACTGATGTAGATAAAGTTGCTTTTACAGGCTCTACAGAGGTATTTTATCTAATAAATTGTCTTAACTAGATATATATTTTTTGAATATTATTATTTACCAGCAAGTAGATGTAACTTTTATTGTCGTTGTTGCTGAATTGGTAAGACATAGTGTTGTTCTCAATCGAGTGTTGTAAGATCAATCCAAAGTAATCACTCTGGCCAATCACAAATGACACAGACAATCCAGTGAACCAATCAGAACTTGTAGGAAATACATGTAGTTGGCGCAAAGCATGAGTAATCATGTACAAGTGTGTCATGATTGGTTTTGGTTTTAATCCTGACTGGATGAAAAAGTGATGCGATATTTTGTTTTTGGCAATTAGTGAAGTGCAGTCTCATCCTATGCCTTAGGACTTACCTTTTGATATACATTGTACATACTGTACTGTATGTTTTGTAGGTTGGGAAAGTTCTTCGAAGGCTGACAGCAGGCTCAGGGAAGAAGCTGTCTTTAGAACTTGGTGGTAAATCCCCTGTGGTTGTGTTTGATTCCGCTGATCTGGACAGCACAGTGGAGGGCATTGTTGATGCCATTTGGTTTAATCAAGGCCAGGTTAGATATTTTAGAGGTTTGCCTTCTCCTTTCATTTCAACATGCACAAGCCTGAAAACTTAAATTATCTCAATTTTGCTTTTAACCCATTGACACCTGTGCTGGCCCTAACTGGCCATGATGAGTACTGGCCTTTGTTCCACTTCTGATGTCATCACCTTTGATCAAAATTGGCATCATCTATACTCAAGTTCTGCAGGAGGAAAAGATCTTTCCAATGACACCCAGTTCAGAGTGATCAGCTCAATGGAGTGTGAAATATGCACGAAAATGCTCAGAAATTTGAGTGAAAAACTCGGAGCAAAATTTCCTGCCACCATGCTAGCTACTCAATGGTAAAAATTGCCCATCTCTATGATGCTTTCTCAAAAAGTTTTGAACTGGAAGCAAGCCAAGTAGAAGGTCAATCACTACAGCAAAAAGATAAGAAAAGGAGAAAAAGTAAAGGCAAAAAAAAAAAATTTAAAAATCGAAAAGCCTATTGACATAGTGGCATTGATTTCTGCGCATGCCAAAGAAGCAATGTCATGAAACACGATGCTAGTGGAAAGAAAGCCATGCTGTCATGTTGTAAATGCCTTTTGGAGCTCATTTGGCTCATATCCAGACTGAAGATTTCCAAAATGTCCAACAAATGCATTTTTGGCAAAAAGAATCCAGGAGTCAATGTGTTCATAAACTACCATTTAATTCTGGTAATGTGATGGTTAAAACAATGTATGTTCCCTTGTAAAATAAGACCAGGATCTTGGTGGGATCCCACCACGATCTTGGCAGGAATCCCACTGGAATCCAGGCAAGATTTTGGCCACCAGGATTTTCATTCCTTACTTGATCCTGGCAAATTCTACATTGAGATGAAAAATTGTAAGTTTCAATCACAAAACTTCCATCTCAGTCTTAACCAGCTGTTGTTTAGTGTCTAGTGTACATGTAAAGCTGTTATTAAAGTTCCTGTTCACACATAGAATTTAGAAATACTGATAGTACTGTGATTCGCACAGTACAATAACATACATGTATATATGCTAATTGATATAATAATTTGTTTCCTAGGTTTGCAGTGCTGGTTCTCGTTTGATTGTCCAAGAGACTTGTGCTAAGAAGCTGATTGGCAAGATAAAAGAGCGTATGGCACATCTTAGGGTCGGACACAGCCTTGATAAGTGCGTTGACATGGGAGCAATAGTTGACCCTTCCCAAAAGAAGTCCATCGAAGCTTTTGTCGAGGAGGCCAGGAAGCAAGGAGCTGAGGTTTATCAAAATTGTGCTACAATACCGGCAGATGGGTCTTATTACCCACCTACACTGGTCACAAATGTCCAGCCTGTGTCCAAGATTGTCATGGAAGAGGTACTCTTCAAATGTCAATAAATGTTAACCTTGGAATTACGGTCAGTACATGTATATCTGTTCTAGGATAAGAAAGTTGGTTAGTCTGGATTATAACAGACTACAGAAATACATAATTTTTATCTCAGCTATTTTTAAATAGTTTTTGATTTTAATTGTTAATATATTTTTTTCTACACGGACTGGCAAGTTTCATAGGGGATCGTCCCTAAGTTGTGACATGAAACCCATCATTCCAAAGAATTTGGTCAGTTCCTACTACATGTACTGCACATGCTCCACTTATAAAAGTTGCTAGGTAAAGAATTATTGTTAGCAACTGCAATTGTGGCCATTGAAACCTTTGGACAGCATTGCCTGAGGTATCAAAACAGAAAATAACTATACTGTTTTCCTAAAACGACACTGTTTTACAATGTAAGGAAAAGTCGAAAATTAACTTAACATTTTAAGTGTTGTGAACCGAAGCCTTTCTTTTCCCTTATCCAATTGTTACTTCTGAGTATCACAGCGATGTCTAACAGGTTGGGGTACCTTCAACTGTACCATTGATGAACAACAAACCATAGTCTTGATTTGCCTTGTGATATACATTCTTTCTCTTGGTGAAAAGGTGTTTGGCCCAGTTCTGACTGTTCTGACATTCAGAACTGCCAAGGAAGGAATAGCATTGGCTAACAACACCAACTACGGCCTTGGGGGAAGTGTCTGGACAGAAAATCTGTCACTTGCTTTAGAAGTTGCATTAAGCATCAAGGCTGGGTCAGTCTGGGTGAATGGACATAATCTGTTTGATGCTGCAGCTGGGTTTGGAGGCTACCGTGAGAGTGGGTTTGGACGAGATGGTGGGAAAGAGGTAATGCGAACTAGATCACATTGATTTCAAACATGTCTGTGTCATCTAACATTATGCACTGTTGGAACTTGAGTGACATCATGACTATTTAATATATTCCACAGGGCTTGTATGAATATGTTTGCCCTTCTTGGCAAGAAAGGGCCAGACCAGCTGTGGAGGATTACGACGTGAAGTCATTTGGTTCTACAGTTCCTGCCACAGTGATGAATCCAAATTCGAATCCACTAAAACTCCCTCCGTTGTCACCAGGAAAACTGAATGGAATTGTTCCACCAAGGTATATGACCGAGATTGACAAATGAGAGGATAAGTTACTCTGATTTATTACACAACTCCTATGGTTGAGAGGGCATGAAATTCTGTCTGAGTTTGCTGCCAAGGGAAAGTGTGACTTTACCTCTCTTGTTTTGGGAAATATGCGCCTTGACCACTTTCGATATATTAAAATTCAGCATGGCAGTGAGGCTTAGAGGACACAAACAACAGGAATTGAATGACCACGTTTTTTCATTTCTTTTGTTTGTGTCCTCTAAGCCTCACTATCAAGCTGAATTTTAATATATTGAAAGTGGCCTATTAGCTCTTTCATGAAGATTCAGATCTAGACATTCAACATTCAACTCTGAGAGCAACATAGAGCATATCTTTTTTGTCACTTGTTATCATGTAACTGCTGATGTTAAAAAACTTTGCTTTTGTAGCATTGATCATACGTACAAAATGTACATTGGAGGGGCTCAGAAACGACCTGATGGAAACTATTCTCGACCAGTATTGAACCTTAAGGGGGAGGTGATAGGACAAGTTGCTGATGGAAACAGAAAGGATATCAGAGATGCTGTGGAGGCAGCACATAAAGCAGCGCCAGGGTATGGAACCTTTGATGTCAAAGAAGAAATTCTCTGTAGAGTTCTCCATTTAGAGCTTTTGTTTCAGCTTGAACAGTTTCAATGCAATTTTATTTTGTTCATGCAATCTGAGGGATTTTTTCTCTAAATATATCTAGTTAATAAAGGTAACAAATTACAATAACAAAGTAATGTGCTGTGGTATTACTACATCCATCCTGATCATCATCATCATCATCATCTTTCCCTTCTCTCCTTTTGGAGAATGGGGCCATCGATCCATCTCCTCCAAGCAACTCGGTCTTTTGCTGCCACCATTGCCCCCTCCATGTCTTGCATCCAAGATGTTCTCTTTCCTTGTTGATCTTTCTTCGCAACGTCTCTCTTGGCCATCGTCTCCAGCATTTGCCTTCTAGTGCACATGTTAGTGCTATTATGCTAAACATTGTTCCAACGTTCCAGCACACAACCCTGACACTTTCCTTGGGTATAGCTAATGGCCTACTCAGCATACGAACTACATCCATACTACACTAATTATTTGCGGAAGTTGATAATCTTTGCTATCTGCATTTCCCTGTCAAAGTATGCTGTGACCTCACACCAAATGTACTGGTAATACCCCTAATCCAAGTGACGTACAGGAGATTTACACCTTTACAAAATTATAGAATCAAAGCAACTTTAAGTAATGCCAATTTCTCCTTTAGTTTCAAACTTCAGGTCTGTCAATAAAACCATGAAGTGAGATGGTTAATAAATTGTAAGATTTTCAGCAGTACTTTGATTAAATTACTGTTGTCACTTTTTGTAGCTGGGGTAAACGAGCTGCCCACAACAGAGCCCAGATTGTTTACTATATGGCTGAGAATTTGGAGCTGCGGCACAATGAGTTTAGCCAGAGATTGTGTGACATGACCGGCTGTTCTATGGAGGAGGCCAAGAAAGAACTGGATGTTACAATCCAGCGGTTGTTTTACTGGGGAGCATATGCAGACAAATATGGTGGTACTGTACAGGTTAGTTCAAAGAGTGATGGTCTGCACACCCAAGAGATCACTCATGGAGTTCACACATTATTTTGTCATTTCTGGTGGTGTTGCCTGCTTGCCCAGTGTTCTGGGATCAGTATCATCATGGTGCTCTTTTCTAAAGTTTCATTCTTTTCCCACCCTTCCCTCAAGGAAACTCCATTCTATGGTGCTACAGTGAAGATCCACGAGCCAGTGGGCGTGATAGGTATCACTTGTCCTGACAGCTGTCCGTTATTAGCATTTGTGTCTCTACTGGCTCCTGCTGTTATCAGAGGAAACACTGTGATCATTATACCGAGTCACAAACACCCAGTGATTGCTGTCGACATGTATCAGGTACCACTGTCATATTTTGCATCTCAACTTTGATTAATTATTTTAAATAACAATCACAAATTAGTTAATATATTTTGAGATGATTGATATCATGCAGTTTTCCTTCATTATCAGGTTCATTTGTTCAAAGCCGGATGGATGCTATCCATCAGATAAATCACTTTGTAGTTTGTTTAGTCAATGCCTTAATCCATTAGATAGTGATTTTTAATAGTGGACAGTGTTATCTACCCTTTTGACAACTGGACCTATAAATGATTCAGATCATGTCATCATCATCATCATCATCATCATTATATCATTAACTTTATTTATCCTCGAGTATATTTACAGAGTGGCATTGCTGCTGTTATTCCCATACTATATAAAATTCCGCTATTTTAGTACATGTGGTTGTCTTCAAACACCCCAAGCAGCCCTGTTGCTTTTCTTATCTAGTCTAGATACATTGCTCTTTTATATGGACTTTTAGACCTTGTATGCAATAATTTTTGAAGGGGGTGTAGTTTGTCACAAAAAGAACCCATTGGGATGACCCGTTTTTTCGTCAAGATGAATTACTTTGCAGATAATTTGTATTTAAATATTGCTGAAATTGAAATTTGTTTTGCCATAACAGGCGAGAGGGTTTACATTTTTGATACATGTTATCCATGCTTAACAGAAAACAGCTTCTTTTGTGTAATGTATGAAGAAAAACAAGCTAACACAACAGTGGCATAAATTAATGAGAGGTGCATCCTAAAGCTCTGTATAAATGTGAAGTATGGACTCGTTACAGAACCAATGAGATTGCTCCTTTCCATAATGGACCGCTTTGCCAAGTAATAATTGGTTTATTTTCTAGATCTTCGATACTTCTGATCTGCCCGGTGGCGTGGTAAACATAGTAACAGGCGATAGAGATCATTTAACCAAATACCTGTCTGAACACCAGGATGTGCAGGCTATGTGGTACTTTGGCTCCGCAGAGGGCAGCAAATTTGTAGAGTGGTCCTCATCGGTCAACGTGAAACGCACCTTTGTGAACTACGGTCAGAGCCGTGATTGGCTCGACAACTCTCAGGGGCAGGGAGAGGAGTTTTTGTTCCATGCTACCGAATGTAAAAACGTGTGGCTTCCCATGGGAGACATCTTTGCCAACTGAGAGGGATATCTGAAAGAGATTCTACGGTATAGTGGTGCATTCCTTCTGTGAAGATCTGCAGGATTAAGTCACAAAAAAATGAAAAAATATGTGCAACATTTGGTAATATATAAGAACACGAATGAGAAGCACTTGACTATCAGTGCAAATATGGGGTACGGTTAACAATCATATTCCAATAAGTCATATTTTTATAGCCAATTCACTCTGACACACTCAGTATTGTTGTTATAGAAACCACCAGTAATTTGGCATACTTATGGTGTTTTTCATCCATCGTGACTCTTTCATGGTAAATCGCTTGTCAGCCAGTGTCTTGATTCACTATAAGTGACCCGTTGCCTAGGGGACAAAAATATTTAAATAAGTGTTCTCAACAAGAAGTAACTTAAGTAGTCAAACTGTTTTAAAACGGTAGCCCATGCTAAATCAAATCAAAAAGGGAATTGCTAACTTGAATTGCTGGTTTTTGTTATGGGTCAATTGAAGAAAGGGTGGTACGATAAGGCAATTAGTAAAGCGCAGACATGTGTGAAATGAATTTTTGAAATAATAAAGGTTAAACTCATCGCAAATAGATGAGCTTGGGAACTGGTGCCTTAAAGGTTAGCGGGGTGCCAAAGCCATTTAGCCCGCAAGGGCTACGGGTCTAATTGTTAATTATTGTTTGTGTATAAGAGAAGTCTCAAATGTTATGACATACTTATTTAGCCTTTTTTAGTTAAATGTGTAATTTGATAGGCTACATAGGGGCCATGTACATAACAATCATTAGTAGAATTCTACTAGTATACTAATGCAAATGCTGTAATCTGATTGGCTGAGCCATTGAACACAATCAGCCATAAGTGTGCAGTGGCTGTAGGTCGTCTAGGAAATGACGTTTTTTTTCGTTTTTCTGAAGTTTTGGAGGAAAATTTTGATGCAAATGGATGATTAAATTCCTGAGAAGTCTAAACGAAGGACATTTACGATTTCTTGACTTTTAAAAAAGTTGAAATTATTGAAAAAACTGATGCGTGCACACACACAACTTCAATTTTAAATGACAAGTCAATCCAAGAGATCTTTTTCAGGTGCAAAGTTTAATAATACATTAAGAAATAATCGGACACCGTTATTTGAAGTAAATTTTAGTAAGAATTCTACAAAAACAATTAGATTATTCACTCTCGATTTCTATGAGGTGATAAGCTAATTGTTAAATAGTCAGTACCAGGCACTGGTGATTTTAGTCCAGTGCACACACATGCATAAGGTTATCCTCCAGCAGTTTGGGTGGGTAACTGTAACTATGATGTACAAGGAATTAGTCATGATTCTTACTAGTTCCCCCAAAAGTTCATCTCTTACTGACAGTACTTTTTTAATATGAATTTTCTCAAATATTTTCCCAGGAAATTTTACTTGTTGGGCAAGTGAAGGATAGTATCCACTAGCCCTGGGCTATCAGACATAACTGTCTTTGCATACTGCAGTAGTACTGAATTGACAATACTTGCATCAGAATATTATTTTCATATTAATTCAGTAATCATTACTGTTATTTTTCTGTGTCTTACCAAGAAGAGTCAAGGTTTTATACAAAAACACCTTTCATATGTAAACTGGTTTAAGCTTCCCTGGATAAAAACCCTTCTGGTATAATCTCTTTTAGAAAATCTCTTCTGGACATAACAAAGCCCAGGGCTTACTCAGAATATTTTTTATTATCATTNATTTCGGAGAAACGAGGAAACGTTGCAATTTTGTGGACCACACCAAGCTACTGCACACTATTAATAAATAAATGGCTGATAGTGTGCAATGGCTCAGCCAATCAGATTACAGCATTTGTATTAGTATACTAGGAGAATTCTACTAATGGGTGATAGTCAACGAGTAGCTCAGCCAATCAGGTTGCAGCATTTGCGTTAGTATACTAGTAGAATTCTTCTAAATATATTTAGTATAAATCTTCTAGCATTCTGTCAGGGATGCTGTCCACGTATTGGCTACGCTACTCACTGTCTATTCTGTTTAAGATTTCTATACGTGATAGAAATCTCGAGCTCCTGACCTAATCTTTAAATATAAAGAGAGTGGTTTCCAGTAAAGTGTCGTAAAATTAAAGCTAAGCTTCTAATTATTAAGCGGACACCCTCTATTGGGTGGACACCAGCTTAAGTCCCAATATTTTCTTCCCACATTTACTGTAAATTAAACCTGCATTCAGCTGACAACCCTATTAAACGGCCGAGGACACCAATATTAAGCCATTTTGTTGCACAAAACCTGCAATTTCGCTCCGCTCGAAACGTCAGCTTTCGAATCTCTTTACGGTGGCCAATTCACATTATCAACCCAGTCGATAAAACTAAATTACCCTGCAATTAAGCGGACACTTCAAGGGCTCATTTTACTTGTAAAGGTTCAGCTGAGACTCCTTAACACAATTGCGATATCGTTTTAAAGTGATTATTTTTATTTTATTATTGTTTTAAGTGATTATTCCAGATTGATTCATTGATTGACTGGACATTGTACTATGAGCAGTCTTAGCTAGTCTTTGATCCTACACTGTGTTACACAGTGTTACAAAAGGGTTAATAATGACTGTTATTGAACAACATACTAGAACCTGTTTGGAGCGGACACCCAGTATTAAGCGGACACTAATGAGGGTCCCAATGCTGTCCGCTTAATGTAGGTCTCACTGTACTCAAGTTAAACCGTTCTTTGTATAATTATATACAAAAATCTATAGCATTACGTTTACTGCCTGCCTTCCATCCTTATCAGTTAATTTTGTCCATTTGTCAGTTGACAGTTAAATTTTGGGACATTTGTCATTTGTCAGTTAAAGTGGCTGTTAATAATTAACCTCTCCTAGTTGACTCCTTTTAAAGAAAATTTGCATATAATTAATTGCAAAACCCTTACTTTCTAAAAACTTTTCTTTTGTACTTTTCATGATCGGCATGCAAAGTAAGGTTCTTAATTTCTTACAAGTATCTGCCAATGAAAACTAATACTTAAATTTCAATGTATCATTATTAATATCTACCAATGTACCTTACAAATCCAGGCGAAAACGAACTCCTACTGTCCTTCCGGATCTGGACACGAGTTACCAACCTGTCGTGTCAAATCGCTTGCAATTTATTTCCCGCGGAATACGTAAACCATGATATATGTTTATGGCACTTAAAATCTAGCTGCATTCAGTAAAGACCACCAAATAGTGTAAATAAATTATTTCGAGAGAACTTAAAGAACGGCGTCTTGTCAGCGTCTTGAAACGGGTTAAAACTTCGGCCTTGTTTAATTCTGGGCTTCATTTTTTCAGAATTCCAGGGACAATGTAACATTCGACTCATACACAAGATATTATAAAACTAGCGTCTAGTTCGCTGCCGCTGCCTATCTGTAGTTAACGTTATTGCAATATTTTTAGTTTTTTCCACAGCGTAAGTGGAAATGATCAATACTTACCGTATTAAAAAAAACTTTAGTGATAGTTTTGGTCTAAAGCAATTTAAAAAGCATGAGCTTTATACTAGAAAGGTTAGAGTACTAATATTTTAACCGAAAAAAGTCATTTTCGATGAATTTCAAACGGATAACAATGGCTAAAGTCTTTAGTCAGTTTTCAATATATCTGACTACAATTATTGTCAGTTGTGAGTTACGTTTTCGGGTATTTGCCAGTTGTCAGCTGTTTATTTATTTTTTTTTTTGGCCATTTGTCAGTTGTCAGTTAATCACATCCAGACCCTTGTTTAACACTGACAAAGAAAAGAACTGAACTATCAAGAAAGTCCTATAGCATCAAAAAGAACACACCAGAGACGAATGGTGTGACAATATATCAGGAACACGCGCTGAATGAAGCCGTGTCCTATCTTTTAACCATGAGTATTTGAAACTGATTCCTGAAGAAGGACCTCAGATTTCTATTCATTTCAGTGACTGACGGAACATTAGACAATTTCCTCATAATTCGTCACATTTTATTGTGAAGCTTTCTTCTATGTAGTTCTAAACTCCATCCGTTTCAATTTAGTTTTGTTTGTAAATGTTATTCTAATTTTCCCGTCACCAAACATGTATGGCCTTAGCTTGCTGACATGCCAGCATATGATTATATGAAAGATCTTAATTTGAGCCACGGAGAAAGACGTAAGCGATCGTCTCCATTGTAAACCTGCGATCAAGCGTTCTTTTTTAACAGCAGTTAAAAAAATGCCTAATGGAAGGTTACTCGGTTGTGTACACAGCTTAAGCAGTTGTATACAGGTAATTTAGCAGTTACTTTTCACAACTGCTTAAGTTGAATACATAATTGCGATGATCATTCATGCTATTCTTGTCTTTGCATGTAAGCGTATAGAACTCTCTTGTAAACAATGCCCTTTGAAGAGCCGGGCTCAAAACTCCAGTAACCTTCTGCCCTTTAAGGAGAATCTTCGCGGTTCCAGTCCTAGTCCGCATGAAGCTGCCCGGCTCTGCAGCCTTTTCCATTCGGTTCACGCGGAGCCCAGCACGTGAAGATAGGAATGGAGGAATCAGACTAGTAGAATCTGTCGTAAATCCACTGTAAACCGATCCAAACTTTGGTCCATCTTCATCGCTTGTCTCTCCAGTGCCAGCACTTACTCGTTTTCTCGGGTATTGTTAATCTTCATTAGTTCTCGTCCATTGTCAAAACAGAACTGTTTTGCGTTGTCCCAACTTTTAACTTGGCTTCTTGCTTAATAAGAAGTAAAGTCCATCGAAAGCGTGCCAGTTCGTAGGGCTTGATTTCCCAGAGACGATATAATATTGTGCGCCAAATAAACACATTTCCGTGGACACTCCTCGTGTTCCGCTAACCTGATTCGGCCTCTATCATCGTTGTCTTTCAATAATAACATTCCCGCCCCCGCCCCCCAGGTGTCCGTATAGCCAATGGCATTGTGGTTGAAACATCAGGAATCCAAAAACCGAAATCTGATATCCGCAAAGCCGAAATTGTCCGTAAATCTAGCTGATTTTGTGTACGACCGCTTGTTGCTAATATGCGCGCGCTGAGAAATGTAACCTGTTACGTGACAATCAGTCGACGAAACCATGGAGAGTTTAGGAGTTCAACTGAAAAGAAACATAACACGATGAGAAGGACTGTTCTTCTCAAGATACTTTGGGTGCTCCCTTTAGTTGCTGTATCTAGAGGTAAGAACTCGGTATGAATTATTTGTATCGGGAATTTTACGCTGAATTGCACAACACTTATATCCTGTGAGACCCAAAATGGAACTGAACAAAAAACTAGAATGTTAAGTTCAATAAAACTTACGGCAATAAATTACAAGTGAAAAAGATGAGATCTGTTGGCATAAGCGTGGAACAAAGAAAAGTCCGAGTTTCCGGCGGGTATCGAACCCAGGACTTCTTTCGTAACGGTCGAGTGCTTTAATCAAGTGCTGAGCTGCAGCTCTTTTGTGCAATTTTTTAGTACATACTAGAAGCGCAACCCAGATTCAGAGTCGTTAGAAGAAGTTTATTATGACACCTTTTTACATGTAAAAGAACAGGATGAATCCTGGTAAAATGGAAAACTTGCGGCTATACCGTTCAATAACTCCGACATATGTTTGAACATAAACAATGAGCTTGTCTCCTTGCATGGTTCATCGTGGAACGTATTTGGCTGCATGGTTGTCTATGTTTTCATTCAGGAATATTGGAAACTATAACAAAGCTATTAAAAACTTTAAACTATATGAAATGGTAATTTAACAGCACTGAGGACGTTTCACGCTCAAATGGCGGCAAAATCTAAGGCATCTAACCTCAGTTTGAAAATAAGGTGTTCTTACAAAAAAGGAGTGTACTAGATTACGATACTTTGTTATTAAAAGTGTTCCTCCTCTACAGGGTACTTGGAGATTTGGGCGGTCAATCCATACGAATCCACCTGTACTGGTGGGACCGTTTCTTTTGAAGCTGAAGTTACTGGCGCTGAAGCCGAATTCGTCATAGAGTGGTGGTCTCATAGCGCTGGCCAGTACTTGGATGACAGTGAGCATTTTTCTCTGGATGAGAACAAAACGGTGCTGACCATAACTAATGCCTTACCACCTCATGTTGGACTCTACTACGCCAATATTAGATATGTCACTGAGTACAGCTTTCGTGATTTCGACATATTTCATTTGGAGGTTGAGGGTATTTGATAATTTATTTGTTATCTATTTTGTGAGATCTATTTAACAATTAGATTAATAGCTCTCGATTTCTATTTAACAATTAGATTATGAGCTCGAGATTTCTTTGAGGTGATAGGTGATGAGGCCGAAGGCCGAATCAACTATGGCCTCATAGAAATCGAATGCGAATAATGTAATTGTTTTACTTAGAATTCTATCTGAAATTTCCTTCAAATAATGATTCCAATTATTTCTGGCTTAGTATTAAACTTCGCGCTTTAGAGAATACGCGCGGACTGAATTAATTGTCAATTTGACATTTGCAGTTGTGCAAGGGCGCTTATCAGTTTCTTCAAAACTTTCGAGCTTTTTTAATCCAAGAAACCGTAAATGCCCTCCTTTTAATTTTCTCAGGAATTTTGTTCATTCGTTTGTTTCTAAATGTTTTTTCAAAATTTCGGAGAAACGAGGAAACGTTGCAATTTTGTGGACCACACCAAGCTACTGCACACTATTAATAAATAAATGGCTGATAGTGTGCAATGGCTCAGCCAATCAGATTACAGCATTTGTATTAGTATACTAGGAGAATTCTACTAATGGGTGATAGTCAACGAGTAGCTCAGCCAATCAGGTTGCAGCATTTGCGTTAGTATACTAGTAGAATTCTTCTAAATATATTTAGTATAAATCTTCTAGCATTCTGTCAGGGATGCTGTCCACGTATTGGCTACGCTACTCACTGTCTATTCTGTTTAAGATTTCTATACGTGATAGAAATCTCGAGCTCCTGACCTAATCTTTAAATATAAAGAGAGTGGTTTCCAGTAAAGTGTCGTAAAATTAAAGCTAAGCTTCTAATTATTAAGCGGACACCCTCTATTGGGTGGACACCAGCTTAAGTCCCAATATTTTCTTCCCACATTTACTGTAAATTAAACCTGCATTCAGCTGACAACCCTATTAAACGGCCGAGGACACCAATATTAAGCCATTTTGTTGCACAAAACCTGCAATTTCGCTCCGCTCGAAACGTCAGCTTTCGAATCTCTTTACGGTGGCCAATTCACATTATCAACCCAGTCGATAAAACTAAATTACCCTGCAATTAAGCGGACACTTCAAGGGCTCATTTTACTTGTAAAGGTTCAGCTGAGACTCCTTAACACAATTGCGATATCGTTTTAAAGTGATTATTTTTATTTTATTATTGTTTTAAGTGATTATTCCAGATTGATTCATTGATTGACTGGACATTGTACTATGAGCAGTCTTAGCTAGTCTTTGATCCTACACTGTGTTACACAGTGTTACAAAAGGGTTAATAATGACTGTTATTGAACAACATACTAGAACCTGTTTGGAGCGGACACCCAGTATTAAGCGGACACTAATGAGGGTCCCAATGCTGTCCGCTTAATGTAGGTCTCACTGTACTCAAGTTAAACCGTTCTTTGTATAATTATATACAAAAATCTATAGCATTACGTTTACTGCCTGCCTTCCATCCTTATCAGTTAATTTTGTCCATTTGTCAGTTGACAGTTAAATTTTGGGACATTTGTCATTTGTCAGTTAAAGTGGCTGTTAATAATTAACCTCTCCTAGTTGACTCCTTTTAAAGAAAATTTGCATATAATTAATTGCAAAACCCTTACTTTCTAAAAACTTTTCTTTTGTACTTTTCATGATCGGCATGCAAAGTAAGGTTCTTAATTTCTTACAAGTATCTGCCAATGAAAACTAATACTTAAATTTCAATGTATCATTATTAATATCTACCAATGTACCTTACAAATCCAGGCGAAAACGAACTCCTACTGTCCTTCCGGATCTGGACACGAGTTACCAACCTGTCGTGTCAAATCGCTTGCAATTTATTTCCCGCGGAATACGTAAACCATGATATATGTTTATGGCACTTAAAATCTAGCTGCATTCAGTAAAGACCACCAAATAGTGTAAATAAATTATTTCGAGAGAACTTAAAGAACGGCGTCTTGTCAGCGTCTTGAAACGGGTTAAAACTTCGGCCTTGTTTAATTCTGGGCTTCATTTTTTCAGAATTCCAGGGACAATGTAACATTCGACTCATACACAAGATATTATAAAACTAGCGTCTAGTTCGCTGCCGCTGCCTATCTGTAGTTAACGTTATTGCAATATTTTTAGTTTTTTCCACAGCGTAAGTGGAAATGATCAATACTTACCGTATTAAAAAAAACTTTAGTGATAGTTTTGGTCTAAAGCAATTTAAAAAGCATGAGCTTTATACTAGAAAGGTTAGAGTACTAATATTTTAACCGAAAAAAGTCATTTTCGATGAATTTCAAACGGATAACAATGGCTAAAGTCTTTAGTCAGTTTTCAATATATCTGACTACAATTATTGTCAGTTGTGAGTTACGTTTTCGGGTATTTGCCAGTTGTCAGCTGTTTATTTATTTTTTTTTTTGGCCATTTGTCAGTTGTCAGTTAATCACATCCAGACCCTTGTTTAACACTGACAAAGAAAAGAACTGAACTATCAAGAAAGTCCTATAGCATCAAAAAGAACACACCAGAGACGAATGGTGTGACAATATATCAGGAACACGCGCTGAATGAAGCCGTGTCCTATCTTTTAACCATGAGTATTTGAAACTGATTCCTGAAGAAGGACCTCAGATTTCTATTCATTTCAGTGACTGACGGAACATTAGACAATTTCCTCATAATTCGTCACATTTTATTGTGAAGCTTTCTTCTATGTAGTTCTAAACTCCATCCGTTTCAATTTAGTTTTGTTTGTAAATGTTATTCTAATTTTCCCGTCACCAAACATGTATGGCCTTAGCTTGCTGACATGCCAGCATATGATTATATGAAAGATCTTAATTTGAGCCACGGAGAAAGACGTAAGCGATCGTCTCCATTGTAAACCTGCGATCAAGCGTTCTTTTTTAACAGCAGTTAAAAAAATGCCTAATGGAAGGTTACTCGGTTGTGTACACAGCTTAAGCAGTTGTATACAGGTAATTTAGCAGTTACTTTTCACAACTGCTTAAGTTGAATACATAATTGCGATGATCATTCATGCTATTCTTGTCTTTGCATGTAAGCGTATAGAACTCTCTTGTAAACAATGCCCTTTGAAGAGCTGGGCTCAAAACTCCAGTAACCTTCTGCCCTTTAAGGAGAATCTTCGCGGTTCCAGTCCTAGTCCGCATGAAGCTGCCCGGCTCTGCAGCCTTTTCCATTCGGTTCACGCGGAGCCCAGCACGTGAAGATAGGAATGGAGGAATCAGACTAGTAGAATCTGTCGTAAATCCACTGTAAACCGATCCAAACTTTGGTCCATCTTCATCGCTTGTCTCTCCAGTGCCAGCACTTACTCGTTTTCTCGGGTATTGTTAATCTTCATTAGTTCTCGTCCATTGTCAAAACAGAACTGTTTTGCGTTGTCCCAACTTTTAACTTGGCTTCTTGCTTAATAAGAAGTAAAGTCCATCGAAAGCGTGCCAGTTCGTAGGGCTTGATTTCCCAGAGACGATATAATATTGTGCGCCAAATAAACACATTTCCGTGGACACTCCTCGTGTTCCGCTAACCTGATTCGGCCTCTATCATCGTTGTCTTTCAATAATAACATTCCCGCCCCCGCCCCCCAGGTGTCCGTATAGCCAATGGCATTGTGGTTGAAACATCAGGAATCCAAAAACCGAAATCTGATATCCGCAAAGCCGAAATTGTCCGTAAATCTAGCTGATTTTGTGTACGACCGCTTGTTGCTAATATGCGCGCGCTGAGAAATGTAACCTGTTACGTGACAATCAGTCGACGAAACCATGGAGAGTTTAGGAGTTCAACTGAAAAGAAACATAACACGATGAGAAGGACTGTTCTTCTCAAGATACTTTGGGTGCTCCCTTTAGTTGCTGTATCTAGAGGTAAGAACTCGGTATGAATTATTTGTATCGGGAATTTTACGCTGAATTGCACAACACTTATATCCTGTGAGACCCAAAATGGAACTGAACAAAAAACTAGAATGTTAAGTTCAATAAAACTTACGGCAATAAATTACAAGTGAAAAAGATGAGATCTGTTGGCATAAGCGTGGAACAAAGAAAAGTCCGAGTTTCCGGCGGGTATCGAACCCAGGACTTCTTTCGTAACGGTCGAGTGCTTTAATCAAGTGCTGAGCTGCAGCTCTTTTGTGCAATTTTTTAGTACATACTAGAAGCGCAACCCAGATTCAGAGTCGTTAGAAGAAGTTTATTATGACACCTTTTTACATGTAAAAGAACAGGATGAATCCTGGTAAAATGGAAAACTTGCGGCTATACCGTTCAATAACTCCGACATATGTTTGAACATAAACAATGAGCTTGTCTCCTTGCATGGTTCATCGTGGAACGTATTTGGCTGCATGGTTGTCTATGTTTTCATTCAGGAATATTGGAAACTATAACAAAGCTATTAAAAACTTTAAACTATATGAAATGGTAATTTAACAGCACTGAGGACGTTTCACGCTCAAATGGCGGCAAAATCTAAGGCATCTAACCTCAGTTTGAAAATAAGGTGTTCTTACAAAAAAGGAGTGTACTAGATTACGATACTTTGTTATTAAAAGTGTTCCTCCTCTACAGGGTACTTGGAGATTTGGGCGGTCAATCCATACGAATCCACCTGTACTGGTGGGACCGTTTCTTTTGAAGCTGAAGTTACTGGCGCTGAAGCCGAATTCGTCATAGAGTGGTGGTCTCATAGCGCTGGCCAGTACTTGGATGACAGTGAGCATTTTTCTCTGGATGAGAACAAAACGGTGCTGACCATAACTAATGCCTTACCACCTCATGTTGGACTCTACTACGCCAATATTAGATATGTCACTGAGTACAGCTTTCGTGATTTCGACATATTTCATTTGGAGGTTGAGGGTATTTGATAATTTATTTGTTATCTATTTTGTGAGATCTATTTAACAATTAGATTAATAGCTCTCGATTTCTATTTAACAATTAGATTATGAGCTCGAGATTTCTTTGAGGTGATAGGTGATGAGGCCGAAGGCCGAATCAACTATGGCCTCATAGAAATCGAATGCGAATAATGTAATTGTTTTACTTAGAATTCTATCTGAAATTTCCTTCAAATAATGATTCCAATTATTTCTGGCTTAGTATTAAACTTCGCGCTTTAGAGAATACGCGCGGACTGAATTAATTGTCAATTTGACATTTGCAGTTGTGCAAGGGCGCTTATCAGTTTCTTCAAAACTTTCGAGCTTTTTTAATCCAAGAAACCGTAAATGCCCTCCTTTTAATTTTCTCAGGAATTTTGTTCATTCGTTTGTTTCTAAATGTTTTTTCAAAATTTCGGAGAAACGAGGAAACGTTGCAATTTTGTGGACCACACCAAGCTACTGCACACTATTAATAAATAAATGGCTGATAGTGTGCAATGGCTCAGCCAATCAGATTACAGCATTTGTATTAGTATACTAGGAGAATTCTACTAATGGGTGATAGTCAACGAGTAGCTCAGCCAATCAGGTTGCAGCATTTGCGTTAGTATACTAGTAGAATTCTTCTAAATATATTTAGTATAAATCTTCTAGCATTCTGTCAGGGATGCTGTCCACGTATTGGCTACGCTACTCACTGTCTATTCTGTTTAAGATTTCTATACGTGATAGAAATCTCGAGCTCCTGACCTAATCTTTAAATATAAAGAGAGTGGTTTCCAGTAAAGTGTCGTAAAATTAAAGCTAAGCTTCTAATTATTAAGCGGACACCCTCTATTGGGTGGACACCAGCTTAAGTCCCAATATTTTCTTCCCACATTTACTGTAAATTAAACCTGCATTCAGCTGACAACCCTATTAAACGGCCGAGGACACCAATATTAAGCCATTTTGTTGCACAAAACCTGCAATTTCGCTCCGCTCGAAACGTCAGCTTTCGAATCTCTTTACGGTGGCCAATTCACATTATCAACCCAGTCGATAAAACTAAATTACCCTGCAATTAAGCGGACACTTCAAGGGCTCATTTTACTTGTAAAGGTTCAGCTGAGACTCCTTAACACAATTGCGATATCGTTTTAAAGTGATTATTTTTATTTTATTATTGTTTTAAGTGATTATTCCAGATTGATTCATTGATTGACTGGACATTGTACTATGAGCAGTCTTAGCTAGTCTTTGATCCTACACTGTGTTACACAGTGTTACAAAAGGGTTAATAATGACTGTTATTGAACAACATACTAGAACCTGTTTGGAGCGGACACCCAGTATTAAGCGGACACTAATGAGGGTCCCAATGCTGTCCGCTTAATGTAGGTCTCACTGTACTCAAGTTAAACCGTTCTTTGTATAATTATATACAAAAATCTATAGCATTACGTTTACTGCCTGCCTTCCATCCTTATCAGTTAATTTTGTCCATTTGTCAGTTGACAGTTAAATTTTGGGACATTTGTCATTTGTCAGTTAAAGTGGCTGTTAATAATTAACCTCTCCTAGTTGACTCCTTTTAAAGAAAATTTGCATATAATTAATTGCAAAACCCTTACTTTCTAAAAACTTTTCTTTTGTACTTTTCATGATCGGCATGCAAAGTAAGGTTCTTAATTTCTTACAAGTATCTGCCAATGAAAACTAATACTTAAATTTCAATGTATCATTATTAATATCTACCAATGTACCTTACAAATCCAGGCGAAAACGAACTCCTACTGTCCTTCCGGATCTGGACACGAGTTACCAACCTGTCGTGTCAAATCGCTTGCAATTTATTTCCCGCGGAATACGTAAACCATGATATATGTTTATGGCACTTAAAATCTAGCTGCATTCAGTAAAGACCACCAAATAGTGTAAATAAATTATTTCGAGAGAACTTAAAGAACGGCGTCTTGTCAGCGTCTTGAAACGGGTTAAAACTTCGGCCTTGTTTAATTCTGGGCTTCATTTTTTCAGAATTCCAGGGACAATGTAACATTCGACTCATACACAAGATATTATAAAACTAGCGTCTAGTTCGCTGCCGCTGCCTATCTGTAGTTAACGTTATTGCAATATTTTTAGTTTTTTCCACAGCGTAAGTGGAAATGATCAATACTTACCGTATTAAAAAAAACTTTAGTGATAGTTTTGGTCTAAAGCAATTTAAAAAGCATGAGCTTTATACTAGAAAGGTTAGAGTACTAATATTTTAACCGAAAAAAGTCATTTTCGATGAATTTCAAACGGATAACAATGGCTAAAGTCTTTAGTCAGTTTTCAATATATCTGACTACAATTATTGTCAGTTGTGAGTTACGTTTTCGGGTATTTGCCAGTTGTCAGCTGTTTATTTATTTTTTTTTTTGGCCATTTGTCAGTTGTCAGTTAATCACATCCAGACCCTTGTTTAACACTGACAAAGAAAAGAACTGAACTATCAAGAAAGTCCTATAGCATCAAAAAGAACACACCAGAGACGAATGGTGTGACAATATATCAGGAACACGCGCTGAATGAAGCCGTGTCCTATCTTTTAACCATGAGTATTTGAAACTGATTCCTGAAGAAGGACCTCAGATTTCTATTCATTTCAGTGACTGACGGAACATTAGACAATTTCCTCATAATTCGTCACATTTTATTGTGAAGCTTTCTTCTATGTAGTTCTAAACTCCATCCGTTTCAATTTAGTTTTGTTTGTAAATGTTATTCTAATTTTCCCGTCACCAAACATGTATGGCCTTAGCTTGCTGACATGCCAGCATATGATTATATGAAAGATCTTAATTTGAGCCACGGAGAAAGACGTAAGCGATCGTCTCCATTGTAAACCTGCGATCAAGCGTTCTTTTTTAACAGCAGTTAAAAAAATGCCTAATGGAAGGTTACTCGGTTGTGTACACAGCTTAAGCAGTTGTATACAGGTAATTTAGCAGTTACTTTTCACAACTGCTTAAGTTGAATACATAATTGCGATGATCATTCATGCTATTCTTGTCTTTGCATGTAAGCGTATAGAACTCTCTTGTAAACAATGCCCTTTGAAGAGCCGGGCTCAAAACTCCAGTAACCTTCTGCCCTTTAAGGAGAATCTTCGCGGTTCCAGTCCTAGTCCGCATGAAGCTGCCCGGCTCTGCAGCCTTTTCCATTCGGTTCACGCGGAGCCCAGCACGTGAAGATAGGAATGGAGGAATCAGACTAGTAGAATCTGTCGTAAATCCACTGTAAACCGATCCAAACTTTGGTCCATCTTCATCGCTTGTCTCTCCAGTGCCAGCACTTACTCGTTTTCTCGGGTATTGTTAATCTTCATTAGTTCTCGTCCATTGTCAAAACAGAACTGTTTTGCGTTGTCCCAACTTTTAACTTGGCTTCTTGCTTAATAAGAAGTAAAGTCCATCGAAAGCGTGCCAGTTCGTAGGGCTTGATTTCCCAGAGACGATATAATATTGTGCGCCAAATAAACACATTTCCGTGGACACTCCTCGTGTTCCGCTAACCTGATTCGGCCTCTATCATCGTTGTCTTTCAATAATAACATTCCCGCCCCCGCCCCCCAGGTGTCCGTATAGCCAATGGCATTGTGGTTGAAACATCAGGAATCCAAAAACCGAAATCTGATATCCGCAAAGCCGAAATTGTCCGTAAATCTAGCTGATTTTGTGTACGACCGCTTGTTGCTAATATGCGCGCGCTGAGAAATGTAACCTGTTACGTGACAATCAGTCGACGAAACCATGGAGAGTTTAGGAGTTCAACTGAAAAGAAACATAACACGATGAGAAGGACTGTTCTTCTCAAGATACTTTGGGTGCTCCCTTTAGTTGCTGTATCTAGAGGTAAGAACTCGGTATGAATTATTTGTATCGGGAATTTTACGCTGAATTGCACAACACTTATATCCTGTGAGACCCAAAATGGAACTGAACAAAAAACTAGAATGTTAAGTTCAATAAAACTTACGGCAATAAATTACAAGTGAAAAAGATGAGATCTGTTGGCATAAGCGTGGAACAAAGAAAAGTCCGAGTTTCCGGCGGGTATCGAACCCAGGACTTCTTTCGTAACGGTCGAGTGCTTTAATCAAGTGCTGAGCTGCAGCTCTTTTGTGCAATTTTTTAGTACATACTAGAAGCGCAACCCAGATTCAGAGTCGTTAGAAGAAGTTTATTATGACACCTTTTTACATGTAAAAGAACAGGATGAATCCTGGTAAAATGGAAAACTTGCGGCTATACCGTTCAATAACTCCGACATATGTTTGAACATAAACAATGAGCTTGTCTCCTTGCATGGTTCATCGTGGAACGTATTTGGCTGCATGGTTGTCTATGTTTTCATTCAGGAATATTGGAAACTATAACAAAGCTATTAAAAACTTTAAACTATATGAAATGGTAATTTAACAGCACTGAGGACGTTTCACGCTCAAATGGCGGCAAAATCTAAGGCATCTAACCTCAGTTTGAAAATAAGGTGTTCTTACAAAAAAGGAGTGTACTAGATTACGATACTTTGTTATTAAAAGTGTTCCTCCTCTACAGGGTACTTGGAGATTTGGGCGGTCAATCCATACGAATCCACCTGTACTGGTGGGACCGTTTCTTTTGAAGCTGAAGTTACTGGCGCTGAAGCCGAATTCGTCATAGAGTGGTGGTCTCATAGCGCTGGCCAGTACTTGGATGACAGTGAGCATTTTTCTCTGGATGAGAACAAAACGGTGCTGACCATAACTAATGCCTTACCACCTCATGTTGGACTCTACTACGCCAATATTAGATATGTCACTGAGTACAGCTTTCGTGATTTCGACATATTTCATTTGGAGGTTGAGGGTATTTGATAATTTATTTGTTATCTATTTTGTGAGATCTATTTAACAATTAGATTAATAGCTCTCGATTTCTATTTAACAATTAGATTATGAGCTCGAGATTTCTTTGAGGTGATAGGTGATGAGGCCGAAGGCCGAATCAACTATGGCCTCATAGAAATCGAATGCGAATAATGTAATTGTTTTACTTAGAATTCTATCTGAAATTTCCTTCAAATAATGATTCCAATTATTTCTGGCTTAGTATTAAACTTCGCGCTTTAGAGAATACGCGCGGACTGAATTAATTGTCAATTTGACATTTGCAGTTGTGCAAGGGCGCTTATCAGTTTCTTCAAAACTTTCGAGCTTTTTTAATCCAAGAAACCGTAAATGCCCTCCTTTTAATTTTCTCAGGAATTTTGTTCATTCGTTTGTTTCTAAATGTTTTTTCAAAATTTCGGAGAAACGAGGAAACGTTGCAATTTTGTGGACCACACCAAGCTACTGCACACTATTAATAAATAAATGGCTGATAGTGTGCAATGGCTCAGCCAATCAGATTACAGCATTTGTATTAGTATACTAGGAGAATTCTACTAATGGGTGATAGTCAACGAGTAGCTCAGCCAATCAGGTTGCAGCATTTGCGTTAGTATACTAGTAGAATTCTTCTAAATATATTTAGTATAAATCTTCTAGCATTCTGTCAGGGATGCTGTCCACGTATTGGCTACGCTACTCACTGTCTATTCTGTTTAAGATTTCTATACGTGATAGAAATCTCGAGCTCCTGACCTAATCTTTAAATATAAAGAGAGTGGTTTCCAGTAAAGTGTCGTAAAATTAAAGCTAAGCTTCTAATTATTAAGCGGACACCCTCTATTGGGTGGACACCAGCTTAAGTCCCAATATTTTCTTCCCACATTTACTGTAAATTAAACCTGCATTCAGCTGACAACCCTATTAAACGGCCGAGGACACCAATATTAAGCCATTTTGTTGCACAAAACCTGCAATTTCGCTCCGCTCGAAACGTCAGCTTTCGAATCTCTTTACGGTGGCCAATTCACATTATCAACCCAGTCGATAAAACTAAATTACCCTGCAATTAAGCGGACACTTCAAGGGCTCATTTTACTTGTAAAGGTTCAGCTGAGACTCCTTAACACAATTGCGATATCGTTTTAAAGTGATTATTTTTATTTTATTATTGTTTTAAGTGATTATTCCAGATTGATTCATTGATTGACTGGACATTGTACTATGAGCAGTCTTAGCTAGTCTTTGATCCTACACTGTGTTACACAGTGTTACAAAAGGGTTAATAATGACTGTTATTGAACAACATACTAGAACCTGTTTGGAGCGGACACCCAGTATTAAGCGGACACTAATGAGGGTCCCAATGCTGTCCGCTTAATGTAGGTCTCACTGTACTCAAGTTAAACCGTTCTTTGTATAATTATATACAAAAATCTATAGCATTACGTTTACTGCCTGCCTTCCATCCTTCTTCCTTCCTTCCTTCCTTGGTTCCATTTGCCACACTTATATAACGCCGATTCCAAACGTATTCCTTCGAATGAACTTATAAACTTCTCCGGCAATACTTATGATTAGCTAGATCAGACCTCAGCAGGATGTCCTTGTTATTCAGTATTTCACTTATGATTGTTTATCTTGTTATCCGATTGATCTTTCAGATATACATCTTCACACCTTAGTAAAGAGCCCGGTTAAAATAGAGTTTGGTGGTAAAGGTATTTTGAAGGTTAATAAATCCGAGGGAGGCGAGCTATTTTGGATTCATAACGGAAATCTGATACAAGTCAGTCAGGACAGTCAATACACATTTGTGGATGGACAAGGTTCATGGGGGACTGCGCTCGAAATTTCTGATGCGACTGCGGAGCAGGGGGGGTTATACGAGGTCGTACTCAAAAAGGGTGGTTGCCAGGTTCGTAACGTCATTGACGTGCAAGTACAAGGTAAATATCGTCAGAAGCTAACTTTATAATGCTAAAAGTATACATCTAGCATTACAAACTTCTGGTATCGTCATTGTTTCTTCATAGAATGAATGATGTGAAACTGGGGAAAATACAAACGAAATGAAGATGCCAGATCGTCGCAGGTCTATAACATTCCAATTTAAGAAACGAGGAGAGTCCCTAATTTTTCAGCAAATAAAAGTTAATTAGCATACTCAAGACAGGTTTAAGAGGGTCTGGATTGGGGGTTGGGGCGGGGGGGGGGGTTGTCAGTTGACAGTTAAAGTTTGGGACATTTGTCATTTGTCAGTTAAAGTGGCTGTTAATAATTAACCTCTCCTAGTTGACTCCTTTTAAAGAAATTTGCATAAAATTAATTGAAAACCCTTAATTTCTAAAAACTTTTCTTTTCTACATTCCATGATCGTCATACAAAGCAAAGTTCTTAATTTCTTACAAGTATCTGCCAATGAAAACTAATACTCAAATTTCAATGTACTATTGTTAATATCTACCAATGTACTTTACAAATCCAGGCGAAAACGAACTCCTACTGTCCTTCCGGAACTAGGACCCGTTTCTCGAAAGCCCCGGAAACTTTTCGGGCCCGTAAAGCCATTTTTAGTCCATCTCTATCTCAGAACGGAGAAGTGTATACGCCTGAAACTTCTTGTATGAAGGAAACTTTTCTTCGTATTGGGAATATGTGAATAAAACAGCTCTGTAATCGTAAGGTTCGAGATTTTGTTATGGCTTTACGGGCCCGAAAAGTTTCCGGGGCTTTCGAGAAACGGGCCCCTGGACACGAGTTACCAACCTGTCGTGTCAAATCGCTTGCAATTTATTTTCCGCGGAATACGTAAACCATGATGTATGTTTATGGCACTTAAAATCTAGCTGCATTCAGTAAAGACCACCAAATAGTGTAAATAAATTATCTCGAGAGAACTTAAAGAACGGCGTCTTGCCAGCGTCTTGAAACGGGTAAAAACTTCTGCTATGTTTAATTCTGGGCTTCGTTTTTTCAGAATTCCAGGGACAATGTAACATTCGACTCATACACAAGATATTATAAAAATGTAACATAGCGTCTAGTTCGCTGCCACTGCCTATCTGTAGTTAACGTTATTGCAATATTTTTAGTTTTTTCCACAGCGTAAGTGGAAATGATCAATACTTACTGTATCATAAAAACAACTTTAGTGATAGCTTTGGTCTAAAGCAATCTAAAAAGCATGAACTTTATACTAGAAAGGTTAGAGTAATAATATTTAACCGAAAAAAGTTTTCAATGAATTTCAAACGGACAACACTAACAATGGCTAAAGCCTTTTGTCAGTTGTTAGTGCATCTAACTACAATCATTGTCCGTTGTCAGTTACGTTTTCGGGTATTTGTCGGTTGTCAGCTGTTTTTTTTGTTTTGGCCATTTGTCAGTTGTCAGTTAATCACATCCAGACCTTTGTTTAATACTGACAAGGAAAAGAACTGAACTATAGAGAAAATCCTATAGCATCAAAAAAAAAAAACAACAACACACACACACCAGGGATGAAGGGTGTGACAATATATCAGGAACACGCGCTGGGTGAAGCCATGTAGGATATTTTTGGATAGAATTCTAACCTATCTTTTAACCGTGAATGTTATATCTTTTTCAGAGCCTGTGGAGGACACAGAGGCTGTTCCCACAGGTTAGCGGACTAGGACTTCGAACACATTAATATCAACGAAAACCTAATAATAATGATTAAGCTTTTCTTCTGAAACATTTAGTGTTTTCCTATTTATTACTGAATGGGGTTGATTGAGTTAAAACTTAGTTCCGACACAACGTCTGACTGACACGTCACCGTCTTCAGGCCTTCAGGTTAACTCAGAGCAATCCCGTGTAAAGAACCACATGTACTGAGCCTAATCAGTCGAGGTTATTGGTTGGCAAAGGAGTTTTGTTACAACCAGCACAATTTCCCTTTGTTACCAGTTTTGTTGTTTTCGCGACTTAGACGCAGGGCTTTATTTTAGGACTGAGAGGAGAACCGAATTACCAACTAAAAGCTCCAAAGAGGTATTGTTCTTTTCTTTTCTAGAAGACCCTAAGCTCTGGGGAATAATTGACCGCAAATACCTGGGGATCTTCAGTGGAGATTTCACTGGCGAGTGGTACTTTGCCCCTTTGGTTCTGGGACCTGTAGTTGTTTTATTACTTGTGCTTGTAGTGTGCATGATCAGACGGTCTCGATCAGGAAAGCGGTAGGCAGCAGTTTATTTCACTGATTTACAACGTCATTCATATGTCCCCAAGAGTCCTTAGGTATTTCCCACTATCCCACTTCCACGATAATGTGTTCCGCCTACGCGTAAAAGTAGCTGTTTGCTGCTGTACAAAGCTGTAAACAAGACTGAACTGAGAGGATCGATCCCGAAGACTTTTCAAATTTATCATTTGGAGATTGTGTTGATCGTTTGATTAGCTTACTTTTCTTTGCTTTCGTTCGTCCGTTATTGTCTCAAAACGTTTTATATAAATCTTTTTGGAGGTCATTTCTTTATCATGTATCAGTTATGCTTTTGTAGTTGTCTCCCTCGACTGTACGCTTTTCACGAGCGGCATTTACCGTAATAGAAATTTCTATCAAATTGTTTTGGTATCGAGGTCTTTACAAATTGAAAGAATGTTCACTTGTTACCTGTTATTTGCTAGAAAGACTGTAACCTGAACTTACAAATTTTTGAAAGTCTGTTATTTTTACTGTTTACTTCGTTAGTTCCAAGAAAGATAAAGGCGAAGTAGAGGTAACTCACCGCGTGGTTTTTGAAGAACCTATATACACTGTACAAGACCAGGTGTTCTATCCACCCGCTGACCGAACTTACGACATCGCACCTGTGACGTCAAGTCATCCTCAGTCCCCCAGCTTGGGCACGTATGGAGATATGTCCATATATGGTAGGACTAATGGCGGTATGTCTACCTATGACACGCGTCACGGTCCAACAGTTTCACCACCAGCATCAGGATACAATGCAATGAGCGACCATGAGTTTTTTAGCGACGAATATAATTAAGAAACTTGTTAACTTTGGAATACAAATTATGCTCTCTTCCAAGTGAATGGAGCTTTTCTTGAGAGGACGATCCTCTAAATGTCAATTTCAAGTTGTGTACTCGCTACAGCTTTGAATTTTTAGTGGTAGACACCTTCAACACAGTTGGAAGTAAATTACGTTTTCTTTGAAATAAACACTAGAAGCGGTCTCGGAGAAACTAAGTTACAAAGAGCATGAATTGCTTGTTCGGAGGTGTCCTGTACAGTGTAATTGAAGATTTCTTATAATTTTTCATGCCGAGCCATCTTGGTACTCATGCATAGCCCATCGTTTCTCACAGCCGACAACGTTTGTTGAAGATCAACCTCGTTCCCAGGCTCCCAGGAGGGGGGCGGTGGTTGGAGATTACGTTCTGGGTGGTGGACTATTTTGGGTTTCGCTGGCTGAACTATTGGCCTCATGAATACTTTCCCGTTACTAAAGCTACCCGAGTAATCGCCTTCCCCTCCCTCCCGCCAAAAAAACAAAAACAAAAAACAAACAAACAAACAATTGTCGTCAATACTTTAAGATTATAGAACTACTGCATGCCGTTTCATAAATTTTTGTACAACCTAGGAACAAATTTCTGTTCCCGTTGATATTAGCATAGGTAACCGTATGAATGTGCGAGTGCAATTAAGGATTATACTACGACTGATATTTGAAAATTCTCTCAAAAATGCACGAGCCTTTAGGCGAGTACAATAGACCAATTTCGGTATATTAAAATTCAGCCTAACACAATAGATCTCAGTACGAGGCTCTGGGGAATAAACCCCACAAATTCTGTAGTTATTCCCCAGAGCCTCGTACTGAGGTCTATTGTTTTAGGCTGAATTTTAATATATCGAAATTGGTCTATTTGAAAGAATTTTCAAATATCACAAGTGGTGTAAATCCCTAATTCTTGGTACATTTCTTTGCCGTCCTCTGCAAAACAACAATGTAAAATGACTAAATTCTACGTTGTCTGGAGAACGTGAACCACGACGGCTAATTTTCTTAAATTTTTATTTCAAATTTATCGCTGTGTCCCTGATTCAGTTTTGTGATAGTTTTGACAGTGATAAACAAAGTAAATAACTTTAGAGTACCGCGAAATTCCTAGGTAAAATGTAAAATCATTTTTTAATCGACGTTGTCCTCAGCGTCGCCGTCGGTTCCTTGAACTCCCTAATTGCTCGAAATTTCATACGATTACTCACATGACTGAGAAAATTGCGAACGCGCGCGCGTTAATTTGCACTGCAGTGCAAATTAAGAACTAACGATAAATTGGCCTGCTCCCAGCCAATCACAACGAAGTAATTTTCTCAGTCGCAAAACAGTCTAGTCCCTAAGTGTTCTTTCCTTTCTCAGGAGAGCGTGGATTAATTCCTTGATTAATTCCTTAGGGAAAAGTTTGCGTATCAATCACTCGTAATTAAGGCCCCGTCCACACGTATCCGGATATTTTTGAATCCGCAACTTTTTCTTTCCGGATTCAAAAATTTTCCCGTCCACACGTAGCGTATTCAAATCGAATTCGCCTGTCCACTCGCATCCGATGGTATCCGGATTCACTCTAGAGAAACTAGGCCTACAGGTTGTGCCGCCATATTGGTTTATTGTTCGGTAAGAGACTGGACACGATTTTGCTGCGTCATCGAATTCGAAAATATCCGGATTCACCGTCTACACGTTATCGGATTCGTTGCGGATTTATTTTTTCCCACGCTGGAGAGCGATTCAGAAGTATCCGGATTCGCTGCCGCAATTCGCAACCTGTTTTGCTTCTCGTCCCCAGAGCAACCGATCTCTCTCTGCCGGCTGGGCCTTGACGCGAGGAAAAGGTGGTTCTGGAGACACACGATTTGATTGGCTAGATTCTTGGACTCCGATTTTCACAAATTCGACGGCGGGTTCCAGCCCGAAAATATCACTGGTTGATCCCCTGCTAAAGCTGTTGGATCACAATACCTACATACATTTAAGAAGTAATATATCAAACACGAGAGACGGTGTTTCATCGGGATATCCAAACACCGAGAAGAGAGTTGAAAATACGACGCGCAGCGGAGTATTTTTGACGAAATTCGACGTGTTTGGATAGCCGATGGAACACCGTCTCGAGTGTTTGATATATCTTCTCAAACGAAACAAAAACTAAGGAGTAAACGGAGAAGTAAAATCGTCAAAATCTATGCTAATTAAGAACGGGTATCCAAACCTCCTTCACGGTTGTGATTTTCATTGTTTTAACTTGATGAATTATTGATGAGTTTGCTAATAGGAGAATTAGGATCTATTGACGAGAAAGACAAGCACGCAGCAACTTTTTTTCCCACAGCTAAAACAGAAGAAAACCATTGCATGCACCACAAATACAATAAAATGAAAACAACGTAACAACACGATGAACCTTTTATTAAAATCAACATTTTTCAATAACTATTTATTGCACACGCCTGATGTCCTTTATATTAAAATATTTTATTTCTACAATACGGCTTCCAAAATCATCGCGCCATCTCCATCTGCAACTGTACTTGAACCTACAGAAAGCCGTCACTTAGGTTTCTGGCCTTCTACTGGATTGAGTTTGCAAAAATGGTCAACTGCCTCCACTGCAGTTAACTGCAAGATACATCCCATTTTAATTTTTATGCTGTAGCACTCTGTTCTCTATTCTTTAGTTGCAGGAGACTGACTACTAACGAAACGACATAATCTCTGTTGAATTACGTTATGAAATCACCACTCAACCATCCCGGCAATCCAGCTCCATAAATTTCTGTCAGAAAGCTGGTTTCTCTGAGTGAAAAATAAACCTCATATGTATTCACAAGGATTTTGTTCCCGGTCTTGCAAGTAGCTCCAAGATTTGGAAATTCCAACGGTAATTCATGATCAATAAAATTTTCCTTTACACTGATTACATTTAGCACATTTAGCACAAAAACTAAGTTAATATACCAACTTAAATACTATACTTTTTAATATACGAATACAATAGCCTTTCTGCTAATTTGATCTGGTTGTCACAGGCATTAAGCTAAACCTCTCTCTGTAACAGAATATTGCTGCATTTACTTAGGGCAAAGAGCGAATAATATAATATTGGCTAACATTTAAGCCCCAATGTCCACAAGCAAATTCTCCTAACAAGACTTTGACAGTTTGAACAGTATTCAGAATCTGGTGGGAAAATTCAACAAGTCATCAACAGAATACTGTACCTTACTCATGACATCACCAAAATATTTTTTTTGCAAAACTACATCACTTGATCAGTTGCTTGGCACCTGCCTGAAAACTGCTCAACTGGTAAGCCTATCTGTGGCTCTTTATTGTATTAAGCGGCCGAGATTTTGCTATTTTCAAGAATTAATATCTGCATAAATACCCATTTATTTTACCTCTTTCATCACAGTTCAGTGCCCAGATGTGTTAGAATGATGCCAATCTCGACTAAACGTGTATTTTAAAAATCATCTCTTTCAATAATGTTAATGCAAAAAAATGTTGCATGATTTGCAAGATGGAAAATTTGGTATGTCAACAAAGAAAAATCTAACACCTTCGTCCCTGTTAATTTTCAATTCCTCAATTCATATGACCTACATATTGGGGTTTTCAGTCATATTTTGAGAAGAAATGAGCTGTTTATTACTGTTAACAGCCATACTTAATTTCTTTGCTTGCTCAGGCGTATCATTCAATGTCTTCAGGATCTGCACCCAGTATGGCTGCAGGGGGATGAGGTCCAGCACCAGCTGCTGCCAGGGCAGCAGGTTCATCTACAGCCTCCACCAGTCCTGGGGTACCCGTCTTGGTCTTGACACACTGGAAATCAACATGGCGGCTCTTGCTTTCTTCCTTCTCCCACGACATGCGCACAAAAGGCCGCTGAACATAGTTGTAGATTACTAGATGAGAGTGGAGGTACAACAGTGAGTAACTGCAGGAAGAAATCTTGCTATATGAAAGATGACATTTAGTGTACTGGCTCTTTTGCAAAGCTAAACAAGGAGTGCAAATATATATCTAGAGAAAGTGTCAGCAATTTTTAACAGCATTACAAACATTCATAACTAGCTCTTTCCTAAGACATGTACTGTATGCCATGACAGGAAGTTGGCAGATGACAAACAGAACTTACCCTCAGGTCTCCCTCCATTGGGCCTCTGTTTAATCTTCTCCTTATGAGTGGGATAACCTGCCAAACAAGAAGATCCACTATCAAGTCTCTTTGAACAAATATAATTCTAACTACATGGTAGAGTTTTGCAAGTTAGGTAATGGCTTTCTAAATGCAGTGGCTTCTGAAGCATACTCATTGTAAGTCCATTCCTGGCCACCAATGGTAGTTGGCACTGAAGTGAAGATTTTTATCATGAAATTTCTAATTTCAATCACCTTCAATTCCCAGTCTTATCTTCTTGAGACCTCTTTCCTTCAGCACTTCTTTTGCTACATCTCGGTTTTCAAAGTACTTGAAGAACCGATACAAAGATGTGGAATAAACAACTACAACAAAGAAAAAGGAAATACATCATGCACTGACAGATTACAGAACACACTATTTCTCCATGACATCTGCAATTCTCAAAAAAAAGGTTCGCATGGGTGACATGGCACCATAGAGAGCCACAGAGTCCTTGAATGGTCAACACAATTGCACACAAAATTACCAGAAATTTAAAACAAATCAGACAGTAATGACAGGTTTCTCAGCAGTTCTCTGTCTAAAATTCAACAGTTATTTCTTTGTGCTGAATGTCAATGATCACTTAATCAGTAAAAATACAGTGGAACCCTATTATCTATAACTCTCAAGAACAGGGAAAACAAAAAACAAATGGCTCGAGATAAAGACAAATACAAATACTGGTACAGATAGCTTGCAGTAAATGGCTGAAAAAGCAACTCTATGTTGTTCAGAGGGTGGATGATGCTTTTCAATGGACAAATCAATATCAAGTGGATAAGTGTTAACAAACCAAACTACATTATTTGCTGGACACTTTCTTTTTTCATTGGATAGCATTTTCCATCTCTTAAAAATGTGGGCTAGGTACATAAATTATGTCATTTTGTCAGGGGTTTTGCTACTCCTAATATTATCAATGACAATACACAAGTGGTACAGTATAACTGAGAAATTATCCAGAGGGCTGGTAGAAGAAACTCGGGCTGTGTTCACACTGGCACAAAATAACGTTGCATTAAGACACTGGCACTCCAAGCATCCAAGAACCATTTAGTGCCCGAGTACAGGGTCGAGACCTTGTACCCAGGCAAGGGCACTATGCCTGAATTCTGGTGTGAGTACTTGGAAAAATGGTGCATTCACATTAGTGCACAGTGAGAATTGGCCATGGGCACCAGGTGTTAACATAGACTCAGTTATGCCTTACTGTGTGTATACTCCTCTCCCATGCTCGGCGGATATTCCTCATCCCAGTCCACCACATCATCATCAGTGAGAATAACAATGTGGCATTCACGGTCACCTTTCTAAAATAATATGACAACATGACATACACCTGTTAGAGGGTGGTAAAGGGTATTTTTGTGACCCATGATCGGCCCTTTTTATTTCCTGTGAAATGTGAAATAGCCATTTTTTCCTCGTGAATCATGATTTCCACAGTCGCCGTGAACCGCGACTTTCCAAAACGTTCTCTTTTATTTTCCATGACGCATGAAATGCCAATGTTGTATTTTTTGTGAATTGTGAAAGGGCTTCATTTTCCGTGAAACGTGATCTATACCCCCCTTTACCACCCTCCTGTTAGTTTGTTGGTTTTCTTGTACTTAGTGGTATTCCAGTAACCATTTCAAAAGAGAAATGCTACATACATACTGTAACAGATGTATTCTTTGGAAGTACCCAACTCAGCTTTAAGATGAATAACCTTTAATCTAATGTTTATTTGTGACAGAAAACTGTTACTTTCTATTATTAACTACACGTAGGACTTACATTGAACACTAAACAATGCTACGCTGGTTAATCAAAACTACACATTAAAACAACTCCAGCTTCATTAAGCAATGCTTTTGTTGAGAAGAGAGACTGCAACCAATACGCAATTATTGTAGTACCTGATCTGGTTGACAGTTAAAGAATTTTAGGATTCTTTCTACTGTACCTTAGCAGAGGACACCATAACAGGAAGAATGTACTCCTCTACAAAGTACTGGAATTGATTTTTAGCACCATCATTTGACAGTTCATGAAGAAGATCCCCTGTCAAACAAAACTAAAAATGTGAGTACAATTGAAGAGCAAAACAGTATATAGCACCCACAAAGGGAATTTAGTAATGTTCTGTCACTGCTCACACAGGATTGGCTTCAACTTTAAACTCAGTTACTTGTGTTATCAATTGTGTGCCATTTTTCCTTTTCTGGGTTTTAACTGAAACAACAGTGGAACCCAGTTTCTACATTCACCAATGGGCCATGAACATCTGGCTGTAATAACAGGGCAGCCATATTAACAGGGTGGGGTCAAACCTCATGACTGGTCTAAATTGAGTGATGTCACATGATCACAATTGCACTTCTAAACAACTGTTCTTTAATAAGCATCCAGAATGCAGACATAATTTGAAAAAACTGAAACTTGAATCAGTGTATAAAATATTAACAATGGGAAGATGAAGATAACTGGTTTGAGTGGCTGTATAAATGCGGTAAAATTACAAAGGATTATGCAGGTTGGGATTTTAGAATGTGGCTGTTGACCACATTTAGGGGGTGGCCACAGTAACAGGATTTTCTTACGAGACAAAAAAAAGTGGCTGTAATAACAAGGTGACGGTATTGACGAGGTGACCTCAAGGCGGAGTTCCACTACACTGAGCAAGAGTCTGTCCTCAAATGTTTTCCCCTACATTATGTGGTATCCCACATATAACTATGAGTCATATTATTAGACCTTTTTGGTACACTTTGGTTACACACAAGAAACGTTTGGTCAAGCCATGGTTTGTATTTAAATTGGTGATACATAGTACAGCCAAACTACCCATGGTAACACCAACCAAACCTGATACCTCACCAGAGCGTACCAAAAGGGTGTGATCAGGTAATTACCATGCCCAAAATCAAGCCAAAAATCTGGCGACCCCTGGGCAGTGACATGATATTGCTGGCAATCAGGGAAGTAGACACAGATTCCGATTGATTGCAAATTTGGGTAAGATAACACAGCATAACCTACAGAATGCCATTACTAATTCTTTAATTAAATAATGATTTATTATTATATAAGTACCACTTACTTAAATTCTGACATCTGATAACCTGAGCATTAAATGGTATGAGCAGGTAGTCACATGCTTCTCTCAGTTCTGGGATTTGTACACTTGGTGGACAGTTAATTATACCTGTCTTGTAGTAATCCTGCAAAACATTGACAAACATAATAACATACCAACTTCATGGACAGAAACCTCTTCTACTCTTATCTCATGAGTTGCAAAACCTAACAGTATTCAATCAGGACTGCAGTCAGCCACAGTGTGTGGTTCAAGAAAATATTCAAACTTACTCTAAAGAAACTTACTGGAAATTCAGAGAAAGGTGGAGTTCAAAACTCAAAGTATTTTTAAGGGAAAGTATGAAGCTAAACCGGAATTTCCAGATTGGTTTCAAGGAGGGGAGCAGAGGGGTCTACAAAACAGTCTAATGGAGAGGGAGAGGTATGAATATTTTCTAGACCATCACAATCCTTCTCATGAAGTCCTGGCTGCAGCAGCTGCAGGAAGCATGCTGGGTGTTGAGATGCATTTTGGTACAATAAAAAAATTATGTAAGCAACATGTGTTAAACAGAATCATAAAACAGGTAATAGAAACACATAAATCTCACCAGTATGCACTTGAACACATTTGCCGAAATACCTCTTGCTACTTCATATTCACCCTTTTCATTTCTTGTTGTGTATTCCATTGTAGAGCCAAACATTCTGGAATGAACATGTACATGTTATGGTCAGACACAAGATAATATTACCAAAATGAGTTAAGAGAGGCTATAGAAGTGTTGGGAATCAATTACAACTTCATAATTGATTATTACAAATAGTAGGATTGTCCCAAATGATCAATCATAGGTCATAATCAGACAAATTGGTGATGCATGTATGTATTCCATGTATTTTTCGCGTGGGTTTAAATCAGCTGATGCCACTACATCTGACACAAAAAGGTCGGAGGATGCTCCTTTGTAGCAGAGTTAAAGCTAAGATTCAACAAAAATTTGCCCAAAGAGGTACAGACTGTACTTCAATTTAGATAAGACATTTATTAGAAGGAGTAATGTTGGTAGACATTGTTGTGTAGTCTTTTGTGACGTAGACAATGTTTGCTGTGTATGCACTCTGAAAGATAACTAGCAATATAGGAAGACTTTCTTCAATGAACTGAGGGAAAAACGCATAGGCTAAACAAAACTATGAGAGGCGCGGTGGCCTCATGGTTAGCTATAGTGCGCTTGTCTCCAGATCGAGCGGTCTGGTTTTGAACCCTGGCTGAAGACATTGCGTTGTGTTCTTGGGAAAGACACTACTCTCACAGTGCCTCTCTCTGCCCAGGAATATAAATGGTTACCAACAAACTTGCTGTGGCTGGTAGCCATGCTGGGGGTAAGCCTGTGATGGACCAGCATCTATAGGCGTACGAGCTGGGGGGGAAGGAGGGCTGCAGCCCCCCCCCCCCCAGCTATGGAAATAATGCGATTTTTCAGGCAAAACGCCAGTGTTTGGACAACAACATTTGAACATTACAAGCATTACAAAATAATGCTGTTTGCGTGATTTCCACAACTCGTAAATAGTTAGTTACTTTTTTTAGAACTTTTTGTTTTAATAAGTTTTATATTTTACTTGAATTGAGACTGTTGATAGAGTATGATTGATTAGCCTGCGAACAGGCTCCTTGCGAGGACGGAAAAAAATTTCGGCGAGCGCGAAACAGAAGAATTCGGAGAGCAAAGCGATCAGGGCGGAGACAGGGGAGCCTGTAGATTTTGTTTTTGATGTGCCTATCTGCCCTTAGTGATAAGCCTGTAACAAATCAGTCATTGATGTAATTAGACCTGCCTGTCAAGAAGCTACATTTTTTGTACTTGCAAACAGTTTTAATTGAGCTAATCAAATAGCTGGGCTGGGCGTCATAATATAGAGTGCAATTAAGCAACGTGTTCACGGAATATTTCAAACACTTTGTCCCTCCAGAGCCAATACTTAGAGATCTTAAAACATATTTTGCAATACTGAAATGAGCCTAAAGAAATTATAAGCACATGATAGAGGTGTCAAACTCTGCGAAGCGACAAGCAGATAACAGCGGAAAGTCCGGAAACCATGCCTTTGACCTCTAAAAAAATTGCTATAGCACCCCCAATCAGCTCCACTCCACTAGCTTCTACTTAAAATTCCTGCTCGTAACAGAGCATAAAGTACCCTTCAGAATCACTTGTGAAATAACGAGAGGTTGAGAGAGCAACACTTAAAAGAGAACGGCAAATGCACTATTGTAACGAACTGTTGAAGTCGTATAATTTTACAAAGATCTGTCAAATATTCATCTCGAAGATGTCAACAGTCAGTGATTTAACCAATCATATCATGATACCAGGAGCTGGTATCACAGAACAGCGGCATCAATAGAATGTCTACAGGCTCCGTCGCTTTGTTCGGGCTCACCGGGAGCCTGTTCGCAGGCTAATGATTGATTGATTATGTAAGCTTTGAATATAACTATTTTTGGAATTATAGCAGTTTCATAGGATGTGGGAATTGTGAACATTTTTGTTTTTCATGCAATTTGAGTGCGTTTGCATCCCGATTTCAACACTCTTGCATTCAGGCATTGCATAAATTTTTTGGGCAAGAAAGTCACCACCCCCCAAGGCCACAGGTGCCCATACGCCTATGCTAGCATCCCATCCGGGGGAGAGTAGAAATACTCCTAGTCACTTCATGCTACAGAAACTGGGATAAGCTATGGCCTGATGGGCTACTTGACTCATATGCAGACTTAACCTAAACAAAACTAAGTTAACCATGCTTACAGGGTATTGTTTATACCAAATCTGTCTGAAAATTGAAGATGAATTTCAAACATTTCATTAAAGTAGCCAACAGATCAGTGAGTGTCATGGTTCACAGCTACTTCAACAAAGCTGTGACGGAAATCATCATTATTAATAAAAGGACAGAAGCAAAAAAAAATACTGACATCAATTTATTACATGCGCCACACGAGAAGATTTACAAAAGACAATGAAAGGAAAAAGGCCCCAGCTGCTAGATTTTGTTGCCCCCTGGTGGGTAATATGTCTTTTATGAGGAAATGAAAAGCATCTTAGAGCTTTAATAATTAAGTATACAGACATATCACAGAGTTTGCACTAAGGCTATACATAGAAGAGTGGTCAAGTTCTTTAGCTCTGTCATGAAAAAGCAATTTGATGGAATTGATTTATAAAATGTTTATAATTTAGCAGTCCATAAGGTAAAATTCAGAATGGTCTAGTAACCAATCAGAATGTTTCTTTTCATTATGGACCACTTTGTTATATGATAATATTTATTTCATAGGCTAAACACTTTTTTTCTGTCCAAGCCTTCCAGTCAGTAAATAATAAGCTTTTTCCGTGCTGGCTGTTGATCAAATACACAAAAAAAAAAAAAAAACAATTCAGGTACTATCATAGAACCTGAATTAAATTGTTTTTTTTGTATTTGATCAAATACCTTCCTACAAATTTCGCTCCTGTAAGTTAAATCATTTTAAGCTTATTTAAAAACATGTTAAATTCAATTTTTTTCACCTTTAGTTATTGATAAACACCTACATAACTGACGTAATGACTACGTACACTATCCACGCAACATCCAAATAATGAAATAAAGTCGTCTTTAAGCTTACTGCATCTCGATCTCCATAATAAAAAACTAAGTATTAGCAAAAGTAAGTGTTTTATTCAACCGAATTAGTATCGTGCGAGTGATGAGCTTACAAAACGATCAGATAAGTTATCAAGAACCTCAAAATACTGCGTCAAAAGGGTTTGAATAGAAGAAAAGTAACTTACCTTCCTAGCATAGTGTTTGGATGAGCGGTAAACAGTGATCTTTCAACCACAAAACGTGTATCATCAACCACTAGTGTAATTTTATCGGCATAGTCACCGACTTGAGCATTTCTCGGCAAGACTTGAGTGACAACCTTGTTTCGTTGCTTTTGAATGATGGGAGGCGAGTGAGCTCCTTTTCGTATCGTATGTTCCATTCTGTTTCTCGTTGTAGCCCTCTGTGGTTCTGAATAACCTCGCGCAAGATGCCTAGGAAAGTCTCGAGGTGGGATATCTAAGGGAACGTACGCGTTCAACTCTTCTAACTCACTGTCAGTGGAGTCTTCTTGCTCGACTCCACGATCATCAACATTTTCCTCCAGGTTGCTGTTTTCCATCGATTTCAAAGCGAAGGACTTTCATTAGATAACATACAAGTACCACAGATTAAACAAACGAAATGTTCTGTGTTTCATAAGTGGAATAAAGGACAAAATGCCGCTGAAATCTATCAGCTAAAACCACGAAATGCGACGTGCTCATGTACCGTACTTCCTTGGACGTTTCAGGAGAGGGCTCCTATTTTGGGGTCATTGTCGATTGATGCAAAATAATGCACCTAAACAGGTTCATTTCAGGGGAGGAGTGGGAGAGGAACCAAAGAAAAGTCGGAGTGTCGATCAGAGTGAATCCTGATAGACAACTAAGTTTTGCTGTGATAAGGGTTTTTTTTTTTACAGAAGAAACTCCTGTAAGGTCCTGAAATAAACAAAGTTTTTTTTTCGTGAAACAATTTTGGAATCAACATGGGTTTTTAAAATGGGCAATGAAATAAACAAAACATCAGGAGCTTTGGACAACAAAGATTTTATTCCGAAAGAAGAAAAATTCCATGAAAACAAATCAAAGGGTTTAGACTTTGGAGATGTTCCATAAAGACAATAAGGCAAGGGCAGACAACTTTTTTACCAGGGTCCTCTCTCTTCATCGTAGAGAGAGGACCCTGGGAATGAAATTGCCTAATCGGCAGAAAGTGAAAGTGACGTCACATCAGGATTGCGCGCTGGTGGATAAAACGATATTTGCCTTCATTTCGCCGTCGTAAATTTTGGTTACAGTTGGCGCCCGTAATGCCCAGACAAATCTGAATTTTGTCACGTAGTTGCTTGCCACAATGTCCGACGACTACTATGAAATATTAGGGGTTCCAAGAACGGCGACAGAGGACGACATAAGGAAAGGTTATCGAAGGCAAGCGTTGCGATGGCACCCGGACAAGAATCCCGACAACAAAGAAGCGGCCGAGGAAAGATTCAAGCTCGTTTCTGAGGCATATGAGGTTCTGTCCAACAAGGATAAACGTGAAATATATGATAGATATGGCAAAGAAGGTCTTTCGGCTTGTCCGAGAAGGGAAGATGGAGAATTCGCAGCGAACTTCGAAACGTTTTCTTCGCATGTCTTCCGCAGCCCGGAAGAAGTTTTCAGGGAATTCTTTGGCACCACTTCTTTTGATGATATTTTCAACATCGCTTTCCAAACCTTTGCCAGCTTTCACGATTTTACTAACACAGAAAACACATCGAGAAGGCCTAACGGAAGACGAAATACGGATTTCTTCCAAGTGGATTCTTTTAACGAGGACCCATTCTCCGACCCTTTCACTTTCGATAACAGATTTACCGAGGATTTTTACGACGATCGAAACGCTTCTGTCCCAAGGCACAGAAGACACCGACATCGCCGACAAGACCGTAACTCTGAGATGCCACCTCAGAACAACGTTTACGATCCTTTTGCCAGCTTTGGCGACTTTGAAAGGATCTTCGAGCAGATGGCGGACATGGAGAGGCACATGATGGCTTCCATGCAGCGCGTCTTTGGCAGGCTGTAATAACAATTTACACTGTGGTGATAAATAAAGAAGGTCGAACAAAGATGCACATAAAACTTGTAAACGAAGATCTTTTTCTGAGTCGTAGAAATTAGCAAAGTGTTAATTTTTAGAACGTTTAATATTTTAATTTCTGGACAAATTAAGTCATAAATTATGGACGAGGTGCATAAACCATGTAATGTGTTTTTGTTTGTTTTTATTTTTACCAGGGATTTCCCTGTTTCACGATGTAGGAAATTTTCAGTTGGCCCTGTTCAATAAAATAACAGTAAACTGAAACTGAAATTTGACAAAATTCCTTGCATCACCTGAGGAGGAAATAGCTGTGGTTGCCAGAAGTATGACGGACAAAATTTTTGACCATGAATTGGCTGAAAGCTCACGTTTTTATATAGACAGAATATTGGGAATGAGTGGATCCAGGAAAGAGAGTGGAGGTGGTGGGGTGGGGTAGGGGAGCATTAGGTCCCCACCTATTCAGCATTGTTTATAGGATGGGCTGATAGCTTAATATCCCTTGTAGAAAATATTCACAGAAAACTGCTCGCATAATAGCTGGCAATTTAAAAAAAAAAAAAAAACCTACCAGGGCTAAAGGGGGTGCCAGGTCTTAGAGAAAGGACTAGGCATATTGTTTGCTTGGTAGTCGGTTTAATGTTGTTGGAAATATTTTCTTCCATTTCTTAGTTACTGATGTAATAGTTGACCTAAATTCTAATGGCTGGCAAAATATTGTTGATGTTTAAAATGATTTTTATGCGCATGCAAACAATGTAACCCCCACTTCATAATGGTAAGCCCATCCAAGTTGCTCATGGTTAATACCTTGCAAAGAGGGTAAGTGGGAGAAAAATAATAATATAAACTAAAATGTTGATTTTATATACAAAAAACATGTATTATTGTTATTATCAAAGTGTAATGTAACTTACATGTATCATAATTTGATGAAGATTGAAAATGGAGTTACTAGTATATATTTACGACAACTTTCAACAATAAATTTTTGCAAAAGGTTTATTAAGTACATGTATAATAGTTTCTTGGAAGTACTTCCCTCTCATGCTTATTATTTTCTCAAGCATCTATTTTACAATAACTGTCTAATTTCTCACATGCTGATTGGCTCATTTTTATCATCAATAAGAGTACAGACAGATAAATTTTAATTTACACAAGCCTTCAAGTTCAACTCTCAGCTGTCAAACTGTCAACTTTTAGACCAATGAGATTTTATGGACTTTTTAAGAAACCAATGAAAAAGCGAGAAAAGCTATCGACAATGTTCGTGTCATTTTGAATGAAATTCACTTATCTTTGTTTACAGCATGTTTATGGTGTCATTTCCCCTCATTTATTCCCAGCATTTGACCGTTTTGGGGTCTTGTTATTGTAAAAGACAAATTGACGTCAGTTTTCATTCATCTGTCCTCTTATTGATGATAAGTTTTGTCATAACATTGTCAAAGTTTACTGTGGAACCACTTGCCCGCGGCTCGTGGTTCCACAGCCACTTCGACAATGTTATGATGCAATTTATCATCAATAAGAGGACAGATGCATAAACAACTGACTCATATTTGTTAATTTTTATTCAATCAAGTATGAAAATAAATGTATTGGAAAAACATTTTCTTCATAGGTTCCAGTCAATATGAATCATAGCATGCTTTAAAAGGCTAGGCATTCTACCTAGTAACATTCAATATCAATTCCTCCAAATAGTTAGAAGCTAAAGGAGCCACTCATGACTTGTGTTACATATTTGCCACATTTGATTGGCGGATATTTGTTTGAGCCATCCAGGCAGGTAATCTTTGCCTTCCAATCAGGATCGTAGAAAAATGCAACAGAACGTCTTGGTGTACGCCGCTTGAGTTCCTCTTCAGGAATGATGACTGTGAACCTGCAAAAAAACGTTTGGAAGCATTACAAGGGAGCTATGAAGTTAGTAATAGGGCATGGACACTGGAAAGTCCCATTTATGTATCTTAATTAGTAGTAACAATCTTTTATTAGGAAGCTCCATCACTAAAAGTGGTTTACATAGAGGTCCTAATACTAGATATATACTAAATAATGATACAATTAAAATCTATAAATTAGAGCTAAAACCGAAATAAATATTTTCAACATATACACTACAGAGATTTAAAAAAAATAAATAAATAAAAAATAATAATAAAATAAAAAAATAATTAATTATAAAAAGCAGAAAAAAGACACTTCTTAAAAATTGGCAAACTTGCTGAGTTTCTTACAGTTCTCTCTAACTCATTGAAGTCTTTGAAACAGTGGTACCGTGAACGTTGTTTTCCCCAATTGTATTGGATTTTGGGGAGCTTTATAGTATCTTTATTGCGAGTATTGCGAGTATTGTGGATTAGTACAAGCTATGTGTACCTGTTTGTATGCACGATGATGATGCTAGACTTAACTTGCTGAAAATAACATTTGCCAACTCTATATTACATTTACCGTGGAAACATATTTATCTGCAGTCCATCTTTGCATCAAGTCAGCAATGTTGACAAGTATTGTTCCATGGACTGGAGTTGCAGGAACAAAGTTCTTCTCCCTATTGACCACCTGAATGATTAAGAAAAATATATACCTTTTATCCTGGGTAAAAGTGAGGAAGTAGGTTCAATTTCAGTCACTCTCTTAAAATTTCAGTACACTAGTCACCTCAAGGCCTCCGGCATCATCTTGAAAGAGGAGAGTTATTCCACCATAATCTGTGTGTTCACCACATCGTATTTGCCCTGCTTTGATGTGCTCAATGTCATTTATTCTTGGGTAATAGTTAAAGCGCAGAAGTGCTGTGCCATTTTTGGTACCGACATCTTTGTAGTAACTCTTGAAGACATCTGCAGGCTGTAGAAAAAGTATTGAAGGGGCTTGTATTATGCATAGAAATAATTAATGTCGGTGTTGTGATTAGAAATGTAGAATTACCAAAGCCATGGATAAATTAACACAGTTTTCCAGTGTTGATTTCTCAAAATAAGTACAGGCGTAAACTTGCTTTATACTCACCAGTCCTAACCCAATAGCCATTGCACGTAAAACTCTATCTCCAAGACTCTTTAACAGATCAAAGAGGCTCTTTACAACTGGCTGAAGTTCAGGGACTTCTGTAGGCCAGTGCTGGAAAAGGAAAGGTTTAAACACTAAACTTGTGATAAGTTTATTATACAAATAGATTTCTATTAATCTGAAACTTGACTCCAGTGCGCCATTGGTATAGCTGACAGATTTTAAAGAAATTGCTTACAAATTTCTTGTCATCAAAAGCTCCAATATCAAAGGACTCCTTTAGGTCACCTGGCTTTGTTGGATCAGTGCTGAAGATCAAAATCAGGAACTTGATTATTCAATCACTTATAAGTAATTAAATATTAGTTATCACATTTACAAGCTTATAAACCCTGGCAGTTCAACGGTGTGTGCAGAGGGCCCAGCAATGTTATGTTATCTTTCAATACTTTACACCGAAGACAATAGAGTGGAAATTATTTCATTTTGCCTCATGTCGGAAGTGAAAAAAAGAGAAAGGGTTGTGAAAGTAAGAAAATGGAGTGGGCTTGGCTCTGGTTAGCCTGAATATCACTCCAGTCAGCCTGAATAGCATTCAGGTTAGCCTGTTTACATTTAGCAATCGATAATGGAGATGGAGATACAAGGTTAATTAAAAATTCTGCAGTCTGCAAATGCCACACAGCGATATCACCTTACATTTCTCTTTCCAAAGCTTCCCATCCATTTGCATCTAATTCACTCTTTTTCCTATACTTTGACTTGCTGTTTTTGCTGAGTGCAAAAAATTTGTCCATCACTTCAAATGTTCCATCTACCTATTGAAATAGAGGAACAAGAACAAGTTTGTGACCTGTGTCTCACATGACCTGAAAATGACAGCTCCAGATTTGCCTCCAATGTGACTGTTGCCTTGTTGAACATCTTTGGATCTTTTCCTGAAATTTTTTTATATTATCAAATTTTAATAAGAATGATAAGACGCAACTTTTGGCAAAGTTTTAAAAAAATCTATACATGGGGTTCAGATTCACCTTAAAGTTTTGGAAATTTAAGGTGGCTCTGAACCCTATGTACAGAATGCTTATTCAAATTTCAAAGTATAAAAAAATTCACCGTTCCGTTTTTGAATTATGAGCCCCTGAAGCTGTAAGTAAGGGTGTTTTAAGCAGTTCTTACTGTTGCTATGGTAACCTATTGCGCCACGAAAATGATAGCAACACGTTCACCAATGGTTGGGCATGGGCAGTTTTTTGATACCATGATAATGTAGCATCAAGCGATACTTAAGCTACTGCACCTTTTCTTGTGAAATTCCATGATTCTTCAGGTAAACAAATCCAACAGTGCTGAACGCTTCGTGGATTTGTTTGGCGATGATTTGGACCCTCTCATCTGCTAAGGAAGGAATACTTTCCTTCTCTACGCTCATGGCAGCAAAATCTACTAGAGGTATCCCTGAAACGGTCTCCATTTATTGATTTTTTAATGGTACCATAAACGTAGAAAACATCCAGTAGAAAAGAAAATACACAAACCCACCTAAAATTGATCAAATTTGATGGTGCAATGTGTCACGCTATGTTTGTATTCTCTAGGGAGGTAGGGTTGGTAAAATCACGCAATAAAATGTTCCTTGATTTGCATAAACGGGGGGTATACAAGTAAGTAGCAAGGCTAATACAGAATACAAAGTATCCATCGGAAATTATTTTGACAGCTTGAGCTTTTGCTGCCGTTAAAACTATTAATTTAGTCGGGCCGGGTAGGCCAATAATCTTCTCATCCCCTCCCTACTGTGTACATTTTTCATCGTCCTTTGTTCGACCCCTGAAAAAGGAAAACACAACATAAGCTATTTCCATCTAGTTCTCTATAGTATTTAAGTTCTTGAAACGTGGTAAATAACTCTGATTATGCCTTTTCATAAAAAGATTTCACTTCATATGTCCTCTTTCCTCTCCCCACATCGACTCCCCACCCTATCTCTCTGTTTAAAGTGGTCAGCAGTTATCTCTACTAGTGCCCAGTCTTTCAGGCCACTGCCGCATGTGAAGCCTTGCAAGAAACTTCACGAAGTAGTCAATGTGCTTTTGGTGAAGACACCTGAAACAACGTTTAACATGTTTTTTATTGAGTAATTCAAAAGAAAATTGGATTCAAATGTAAAAAATGATTACTTGCTTAGGCTGGATCAAGCGAGGAGTGGCAAAAGCGGTCCCTGATAAGGTAGGTTATATGATCAGTGTCCCTCGAGCTTCATTTTCACAGACCACAGCAACATTGGGTCTATATTAGCTGTTTAAGTGCCTTTGCCACTGCAGTTTAACTTGAACATGTATAGATTGGCGCATCTATATTGCCTCCGCTTGATTAAAGGTTCTCTCCGTAAGCTTGTTCATATATTTCGTGGACCATCAACTTTTTACTCGCAAAATGATTTCATAGATACTCAGCGAGTGAAAAAGAAACTGATGAAAACTCAGTTACCTTCGTGACGGACTTTTACTCCATGAAGTAGCTGGCCCTCTGAGTGTGCACCACACTTTTTTGAGAGGTTGACCCATCTTTCCCTGCACTTAGTCTTAGTGTATCTTCTTGTAAGCATTATGTTTGAGAAAATTGGAGTCTCACAGACTCCAACTTTGTTATCACAGTCAAACCTCCTTACAGATACCTCCATAAATATATATGGACACCTGTTGTTACCAACAGGCCACTTGGTCCCAGAGAAACCAGAATTTTTTACCTATTGTAATACAGACACCCCCATTTTGCAGAAACTGTGTTCTGCATCTTCGAGATGTCTGTATTAAAGAGGCTCAGTTATTGTGCTACTCTTGAGGGTAGAGATACTAGCGATTACTACTTGTTCTTTAAGGGTGAATATCAGAGTGAATGCTGGGGATGAACTCCTCGACATCTGGGTATGAACTCAAAGCAGGGTACGAATTCAGGCAGGACACTTAGTTGGGTGCAAAGCCATAACCTGGGCCTTTCAACTCTGATCTAATATCAGTCAGTAATGTATCACTCAATTTGAAACTTCAACATCTCCCCTGGGGAACACCCCACACAAAGCTTTTAAAAGCCTTTTTTTTCAGCCACAACATTATAGAGAATGTTGTCCTTTTATTTGTAGCTTCACCGTGAGTTAGAGGTAACTTCTTCAAATTCCCTCTATCCCTCCCATATGGTCTTAAGTTCCCTGATCCAATATCAGCTATCCATAGAACTTTTAATTTACTATTGTACTCAAATGCCCAGGTGCCCTGATCATACTGTACTTGTAATCAAACATGCATATATATATCTGAAACTGAATTCTTAAAGTTTACATGGACTTTAAGATTAAGAAAAGGGGAGACCTGCACCACTCACAAGATCCTTTATAACTGACCACATTAAACAATAGATTAACAAACAATGCCCCTAAGCCTAAGAACAAAAGAGGTGCAGATTAACAAGAAGGAATCGAAATAGAAGTTTTGAAGTGGTGCAGATCAACCTTAAGAAAACTATACAGATACAGAGTAGATCTATTGGAAGGCCATTCTCCAGCAGGTGTAAAGCTGTAGTTTATTGCAGACACCACTACCAAAAATGTCTTTTACACTAAATAGGTTGCATTGTCAAAAGAAGAACTTCAAGAAATTATAGATGAGGCAAAGGACAAATTAAGGTAAATATATCTTACAGAAAGCTATGAGTTGTATCAACCCTCTCCAATCTTAACAGCTTTCTCAATTTTGAAAGATGATGCTGGGTTCTCCTGGTTGGCAATGACATTAATAAATACAAATGCAGAAATAAACAAATAAATAAATAAATAAATAAATAAATAAATCGATATGCAATTAAAACCATTATTCATCTGAACTTTGTATAGATTGCTAGCCCCATCTTAAATCAGCAATCAAACATTTCACTCAGAAGTAAATCAGATTTATTATATTTCCTTGGTAGAGAAAAAGAAGAAGCAGAGAAGGAGACAGAAGAAGAAATTGAAGGAAAATTAACTGAAGTTATTCAATCAAAACCAGAGTCAAAAACAGTTAAAAGCAGGGGTCATAATGATGATGATGATGATGACGACATATCAGACTTGTATGATCTGGCACATTATGATAGCGATGAAGATTTAGAAGGTACAGCGTGTTGACTATTAATTTTTCTGAGAAAGTTTTACAACATTGTGAAGAAATTTAAAGCAGATTTATAGGGTTGCAAAGAACAATTATCTAAGTTGCATAATGTTGATGGCTTTTATTAATAGGGGAGCTCATGTCTGGAGCAGGAATGGCTGGTGTAACATACTTTGCTTCCAATAAGGATGATCCCTATGTCACTCTTCAAGATCCGGTGAGTTAAAATCTGACAAATTACTTAATTTAAACTTTTAAAATAATGTAGGGGTGCAGTGTACATTTTTCACGGAATATGGACCCTCAATATTCAGTACAGGATTGTAGCTGTCAAGTCAGTAACTTAAAATAGTGGATAGAGTCAAAATTGACACATTTTTCTCATTGCACCCTCGCTCCATCTTCTCAAGGGACATACACTGTATATGAGCTGAAAGATTTGCAGGCATAGTGGTGACATAAAGCTAACAGAGACACACTACAGTTATGTGGAGTCTGCAAATTAACCCATGACAGAGTCTTTACACAAATCCCTATACTGTGCTGCAACATAAGGATACAATATTTTACCTTGAATCTCAGACATTGACCCCTATGGCTGATGGAATGAGTGTGCAGTAATACATCAAAAACTGTTTTTTTAATTGCTCTTTATTTGTATACTGCACCAGAAAATAGCTTTCCACTCGCTAATTTTTTTAATCAATATCAAGGTTTAAATAAAAGTATTTTTAGTTAGAGGTTTGTTTTATTTAAATTTCCTTTTACACCATTCATGTGATTTTTACATGTATGCAATGCAACACAAGTTAACATTACGAGTGATGGAGCAAATTGAAGTTGATTGTGTTGACTAATTCTTGGATAGCATAACAAAGTTGAAGTTAGAAATTAGTATAAATTTTTGTATTTATTTTCAGTCTTCTATAAAAAATTAATTGTCACTTTTCTTTCATTTGCATTTGTAGGATTTTGATGAAGATGAAAAGGAAGATTTTAAAATTAAACCTGATGATAATTTAATAGTGGCTGGACACGTGGACCAGGATTTCAGTACTTTAGAGATATCAGGTGTGTTTACAATTTATTAGCTCTTACTGACAATTTTTAATTGTTTGTTTACATATTTTTTAAATTTCTTTTCAGTTTATAATGAAGAGGAAGGAAGTCAGTATGTGCATCATGATATTCTACTTGAAGCATTCCCTCTGGCTATTGAATGGCTTGACTTTGATCCTGAAGATACCAGCAAACCAGGTGTCTGTTCAAATCCACTTGTTCTCAATTGCTTACAATAGAGTGGTGTTGTAATTGAAGGAAGAACATAGAGAGAGAGAGAGTGGGAGGAGATAGGATGGCAGTCAAGGGGTCCGCAACAGCGTCTACAAGAGACCCAGATATAAGAGCTGTTCTGAATGGCCTTAGGTGTCTTGTGGGGCATAATGAGGATAACTGGTAGTAGTAGTGGTGGTGGTAGTAGTAGTAGTAGTAGTAGTAGTAGTAGTGGTAGTGGTAGTGGTAGTGGTAGTGGTAGTGGTAGTGGTGGTGGTGGTGGTGGTGGTGGT